GGGGCCGGTAGGTATCCTAGTGATTAAAGAGTCCCGTCGAGGGTCCGGGTTCGATTGCTCGCAAGAAGCCCATTTCTGGTGTCCCCCCCGCCATGATAATGCAGGCATATTGCTAAAAGCGACGTAAAACCATACTCACTCACTCACTCACACAGGAGAAATATAGTTGATGTTATTCATTGAACCCACAATAACACCTAACAGATGTTAAAGAAACCTTAATCAGGGGCTTATGTATCCGACGATTCGCCTGTTCTACGCGAGTTTCTGTACAGCATATTCAACATAAATGAATTCAATAATTCACATCTAAGTAATAATGTGTTAAAAGACCGCCTCCGTGGTGTAGAGGTTAGAGCGTCCGCCCGGAGAGAGCGGAAGGTCGCGGGTTCGATCCCCGGCCGCGTCATACCAAAAGTCGTTAAAATATGGTACTTGTTTGTCCCTGTATGGCGCTCGGCATTAATGGGCACAACAAGAACTGGTCGGCTCGGAGTCAGTATAATGTGTCTGAGTGGGGTATTCATGCTTCACTGCGGCATGGTATCTCAGTGAGTTAGCACTATAAAACCAGCTTAAGTCTGGGCTAGTACACACACATACACATACACACGCATGCACGCCGTCATATGAGCGAAATATTCTCAAGCACGACGTTAACCCAATTTCACATCACATATGTTAAATGCCAAGAACATCCTTAAGAATGTGTGCATGCGCATTATAAATATACAATATTATTACTATCATTATCATCATTTAATATGGCCACAAGTGTTGATGATGCATTTCATAATAATTTGTGTAAATTTGTTTTAGAGGTAGGTAAATATACAGCGTCATGACAAAAGAATTCGCGGCTTTTCAAAATGGCGGAAGTAAACAAACACAAGACCGTATGAAAACTATAAACAGCGATATTTAAAAAAAAGAATTATGTCATAGCTCAGTACTTGGTCAAGTTCCCCTTGGAGCGTATGCAGGCCATAATCAGTCGTGGAATTGATTCATATAAGTTTCTAACATAGTGTAGTGTGATATTTGTCCAGACATCGTGGATGGCGTCATACAGTTCGTCAGTGGTCAGCATAGTTTGTGTTCGTCGCTGTAGTGTTCTTTTGATGTGTAGCCATACATTTTCAATAATATTGATATCGGGAGACTGTGCAGGCAAAGTCATGCAATTTACAGCATTGTCACGCTTGTATTCCTGAATAATTCGTGCCCGATGCACTGGAGCATTGTTATCTTGAAACCGATATGGTTTGTTGTTGAAGTGCCGAGCTATAACGGGCCAGAAGTTGTCTTCAAGTATTTCACGATACTTGACAGCATTAATATTACCATTAACACGACACAAGGTGCCAACACCGTGCCAAGTTAAAGAACCCCAGATCATAACTGATAACCTGCCCTGTTTCGAGTGAATCATGCATTCGGGACGATAGGCTTCATGCGCACTTCTCCAAACGAAACCTCTTCCATTCTGACCAATAACTACCTGCGATTCATCACTGAATATCACCTGTTTCCACTGATATTGTACTGTCAAAATTCTCCTTTCCAAACACCAGTGAAGTCGTTTCCTTCTGTTCGCTTCCTTGTTGTGAAGGAAATGTTCTAAAACGCCGACGAAAAACACCATTCCGATGCAAAACTCTTTGAATTGTTCTACTGTTTACTTGTTGATGTTGACCAACATTATAATCATGGGTAATGTCTCTTAGAATGTTAAATCTATTCTTGCGGACACTCCTCAACAAAACATGTTCACTACGAATACTCACTTTTCTCGGTCTACCACTTCGTCTGCTGTTTTCAACATTACCACGATTCAAATATTTTTGCCAAACATACCGAATTGTTGATTCATGTACACCTAATAATTTCACAATGTCAGAAGTTTTCTTTTCCATTCCGTTTCAAATCCACAATTAGTTCTTTAGTACTGATGTTGAGTTCCTTTGATCTTCGGCCCATCGTCTACAGCAGACGATTTCTGCATTCCAAACAGACAACATATGACGTCGTTGCACATGCGCACTAATCGTATATCAAGCTCACAAGCGACGTATCAAACATGAAAATCTGTTCAGTATTTGCGAAGCAAGAGACAAAATACGAGACGTTTCAATCAAAGCCGAACGGCCTTATTTGCCAAATCGCGAATACTTTTGTCACGCCGCTGTATATCAAGTAATGCAGCATAAGCTGAATGTGGAAGATAAAGTATGAATGTAGATTATCATCTTAAATGTGTTACATTTTGCAGTGGCGTAGCTACAGCGTTGCACAAAAAGCACGTGCTTACAATTTAAAATTGAAATAAAAATGTTGTGATTCAAGATGCTATTGAAAATTAGCATTTAATTTGTTTTTATGTTTTCTGGGTGGTTTCTGGTATAGTACGTGGTAACCGAACGCAACTTGCCTCGCGGATCATTTATAGACAAACATGTTTTGTCTACACTATGCAATAAATTATGTCTGGAAACAGGCCGAAATCGTTTGTTCTATAGACGATATCGTTGATCTGTTCTTTGAAATTGTTTTACCCCTTAAGTATTGTATCGTTTGTTATGTGCAGAAATGAGAAAAATCTGCAAAACGTTCATCTACAATTGATTGTTACTTCGTTAAATCACCCAAATTGACTGAAACGCCCATTTTAACTAACAATAGTACCCAGTGAAATGCACAATGCCATTTTAGAAAGTGGTCAATGTAGCATATGTTATATTTGGGATTACACCTTCTTAGTAAAGTACACATTCTAGTACTTTTTGGGTTGAGTCCCAATAGTGCCCAGTGTTCCCAAACACGTTCTGATACAATAGCACTATCTGAGTCATGTACTGATTCCTCGCCAATTGTTAAATCTGACACCCAGAAACCATGTACTGTTGAGGCGGTAGAATTGACAAATATTAAGACTGGTTCACGTACATTGTGATTTCGTGGTAGACATTGACAAAGTCATTGACATATTCGCACCAGGTGAAAGTAGAAGACTGGCTCTTCTCTTCGCTTTGACTAACATCTGTGATGACCTGTTGTTGCTCTGATAGTTTGTTGAATTCTCTCAGTCGTCATGAGATCCACCTTATCCTCGAAGTTGAAATGTTTCATTTACCGAGTTTTAGAGTTGTTTTGGTACTAAACTATTTAAAATATTAACGTGGTTAGGGTCCACTAGTTTTGTGCTATTTTTTTATATTTTGAATGTTTTACCATGTTATTGATGTTTGCCTTAACCTTATCACGTGTTCAGAAGAACGCTTTACTTTTAGATGTAGCATACTCTCCCTGATTTCAAAATGTTTCATCATTTGTGCCTACACTCTGTATTTTCCTGGTTACGAGCCTGTTTTGGTGTAAATTATTAAGAATGTCTAATGATCGTTATCCCAAACAATGTCATAATTATGTACTTAGACTAGATTCTGTTGGTAAGATTACTTGGGTTCCAAAAATACGTAGTCTCTTAAATGAGTATGGATTTGGTTATGTTTGGCTTTCCCAAGACATTGAAAAGGTGTCATTATTTTTATCATTATTTAAGCAGAGGTTAGTTGATTGTTCAAAACAAAATATCAGTAGCAATATCATGGAATTATCCAGTCTTGTACATTTTAAAAGTATTATATCATCATCATGGGGCTCAGGAGGGGGGAGAAGGGGGGGGGCGGCGGTGAAGCTGGCTAAGGCGCCAGGCTAGTGATCCCGAGAGCATGAGGTGCCGGGATCGAGTCCACCTGTGACCGGGTGTAAAAACTTGGAGTCAACTTTGTGTGCAGACTCTTTCAGTGTTGTCACAACCTCTAGTGTACAGTACACTACCCTGTGCACTTAAAGCAAACCCACCAATCCGTTGGTATATGACCAGATGAGGGCCACATGTATGCGTGCAAACACCTCGTTGCGGGTACAGCAACGTGAACTTGGACAAAGTACTGTGACTATGTGTCCCAGTCCACCAAACTGGGAATGGGTACCTCGTTAGGATGAGAAAGCCATAAAAACTCGGAGTTGCATACTCCCCATGGAGTTAAGATTGATAATACGATGTACCGTTGAGATTGACATCCAATGTTTGAGGCAAAAACATTACCAGCGCCTTGGGCATGCACAAGTTGCCTGGATATGTCCGCTATATAAGTATCTTATAATAATTGCCGCTTGATAATCACATTTTAAGAATTAATGTAAGACACTTAAGAAGCTATTTATGTTTGTTAAGATTCAATGCATTACCATTACGATGTAATATTAGATGGGAGGACACTATGAACACAGATGTAATATGTAAGGTATGTAAAAGTAATAGAAATGAAGATGAAGTCCACCTCCTATTTGAATGTGATAAATATTTAACACTACGAAAACCGTATTTACCTCTATGGAACAATTTAACAAATGCGTGTAAATTCATAAAGTTAATAACTTCAAATGACATGGCATTTTTATTGAATTGTGCTAAATTTATCAAATTATCTCTTAAATGTTGATCTTCTATATATTGACAACACAAATGTCTGCCTATTGCCATTATACATAATGTCATTTTTGTACATAGGTCGATGGCCTATAAACTGAAATTACCTTCTTCTTCCATATGCGCATTATAAAATATGCAGTTTTATTACTATATATTATTATCATAATTAGATATTGCCACATGAATAATAATGGACAACATTTCGAATGTGAACGTGAATAATCTTATAATGTTATATTTGAACAGTGACTACAAAGCTAAATATATATATGTGTGTTATCGACCGTCTACATTATCTCGGCCAGTGACAATAGGCCCGTGCTATGTACCCTGTGTTATCTGTGTGGAATATGATAACGCTATGAAAACTAAATCACCGCGCTGTACAAATATTATACATATTGCCAAATATTTCCCACATATGGTGTAACTTGTCCTGGAAAATGAATGCATCCTTTGACCGAAGTCTACGCGTGATGATACAAGTATTTGACAACGACAACTGATCAGAAAGTCTGTGTATAAAGCTACAGGTATCAACTTAAACAAGGCTCTATCACTATCAAGATCAGGTGAGTGGCCTAGCATGTGCAAATACCTCTCTCCGGTGGAATGGTTTGTCATAGATGTTCTGAAAGTATTGTCAACGCGTGGATACGTGTCGAGTGGGGAATTAGCTCATAATTAAGATGAAGTGTGCGTTGAAGAAGACGAAGGCATAGTTGAGTTCAAATGTCTTCAGTACATGACAAACAAATACACAAGACATATAAGAGGTGAGCGGAGTACCTGCTCAACCCCAGGGCGTTTCCTACGAGCCGCATTCTCCTGCTCGTGGTCGTCCCTACAGACAGTCGGAATACCGAACTCGTACTCCTTCACTGTCTAGATGTGACCATACTAAGTATAAATACAGTTTTTGACAACATTGGACAGGCGACGACTCATCAATGGACAGACAGAAAAACAATAGCACTTCCTTGACCAGTTGATGTGATGGCAGACACGACCAAGGGGGATTACCAATGAAGGTTATAAATGTCTTATACAATAATTAATGGGCTGACAAGTCAATGTACAATGCGGTAGTGATAAGGATGTACAGTAGTGATTAAAAATACAGCTTAGCGTCATATATATATTACAATAAAGTCTCACATGTCTTGACAACATAGTTTTGGACTTTTTAACTATTTGGACGATGGCTGTCCTGAATTGGTCACTATAACAGTATCTAAACAAGGTGCTACTATATACTTCCTTTCAAAAGTTTAGACTCACTAGTGCAAATATAGCCACTTACTTCAGGCAGCTGTTCGAAACTAGATTTTGCAAAAGATTCCACACTACTTAAAGGTTACCGTTAACACATGAACTGATGTACTGTTAAACAAATTCGTAACGTTGAAATGATTAGTGTCATGAGTTCAATAAATGGTAAACATCAGTGAAAGTTGGCGAATTCTTAACAAAACTTTACACCCAAACGCAGCTGTTCACATGCAAGATATTTGCAAATGCTTTTCAGCAATTTGATGCATGATCCTCGTGCAATACATCTGTGTTAGGTTTGCAGTTGGATCCCCCAAGTTAGTGGGGAAATCAGTCTTCAATGTAGCCATATATACAAACCTCCGCCATTCCTCCTGTAACGCCACTGCAAGTTCTCCAGGCGTCTGCGGGACCCGTTGACGTTGACGTACACGTCGATCCAGCTGATCCCAAAGATGCTCTTTGGGTTTAAAGTCTGGGGACCTGGACGGCCATGGCAAGACATTAATGTTCTCATTGGCTAGGTAGGCCATTGTCACTCGTGCCGTATTGGGTCGGGCGTTATCTTGCTGTAAGATCTCACGCTGGCGGTTGATAATGGGACGGACGTGTGGACGAAGAATTTGGGTGATGTACCGGTTTGCCTAGTCTGTCTCACAGTCCCTGAACCACATTAATTTTCCTACTGCCAAGCCCTCTCTGCAGTGCTAAAGCCCTAAATAAAGCAAGTCTAGATTTCCTCAGGTTCTGAGTCTCTGGTCTCCCTAGGGCTCCTTTTCAATATAAATGGGTTTGTTTGTTACTATCAAAATTATATATATTCAGAGACTAAGCCTAAGTCTACGGTTTGCCGCCAGATTCCCCTGAACCTGAAGTCGGTACCACCAGTGTATGATATGGCATTCCACAGCGATCGACCTGTCGTACGTAGATGGGTGCGTAACGTTCAATCCTACGTCGGTACACACATTGTCTTCAATCATGGCGTTGCAGGAGAACACGTGATTCATCACTGAGTCAGATTCTCCTTCAGTTAGCCAGATTCCAAGGCTGTACGGCTGTGTGTCAGACATTTCGGATCGTTTGATCGGATACTCGACGTACACCTGGCACATGATCTTCTGTATCGTCTATGTGGCTTGCCGATGATGTAGGTGGAACACCACTTCTTGGGCGATCTCGCGTCGAATTGAATGCTGTATAACGGGCCCACAGACGAGATACTGTGCTTTGGTGGACGTTATTATGACGTGCAACGGCAGCCTGGCTTTCTCCAGCTTCCAGACGTCCAACAGCAATGTTCCAGTCAGCGGGATTCAGTCTTGGCGTTTTGCGTCGATCATTCCTCATCAATATTTGTGATACAACGGAGTAAATGTATCGGGCTTTTATAGTCATTGTCTCTACTGACGAATTCCACTCATTTCACGTGCATTGTCATCAACATGTGCGTTGCAAGCGAATTTCATGTATTTGTTTTACAATTGCTGACAACGGTAATATTATGTTTTGTTGTGTTTGCGCGACATAAGCATTAAAAATCCCATACATCACATCATTCAAACATAAACATAGTCTTTAGATTGATTGCCGATATGAAAATGCAATATATAAATCTCAATCCCCCTATGCTTTTCTTATTTTTTTGAAGGGAGTTTATCGAAAACCCTGTTTAGCTTCAGATAGCTGACTGTAATGATATAGTTTAGTTTGGAAAGTAATCCAACTGTGATTCTTTTGTAAACAATGCATTGCACAATTGGGCCATTTTCAGCTAAAGATGTACGTTGTCTGTACAAGCGTTCTGCTTAAAGTACAAGTTATATGTCTGTTAGTCGGAAATATACTAGAAACGTTGACCACAATATGTGATGTGTTTGGTAGAACTACCACAATATGTGAGGTATTTGGTAGAACTACCACAATATGTGAGGTGTTTGCTAGAACTACCACGATAATGATACACTGGTTATTTCACCTCGCAAAGTCCAATCTAACCTTGAAAGGAATGAAATCGACAAGTGTACTCTAAATGTTACCATTTGTCGCTTCTGTGCCTAACATTCACTGAAACAAGGCTCGTACATTCTTAACCTCTTATGACTGAAAAGTAACCTTTAAGATAATGTTAGCATAAACACTATAGGAACATCGATCAGATGGAATAGTATTTCATCCCTACCGCGATCATCACTTGAACTTCATCCTCTACTGGAGCGGTGGGTAGCCTAGTGGTTAAAGCTTTCAGTCGTCACGCCCAAGACCCGGATTCGATTCCGCACTTGCGTTCCAAGTGTGAGGCCCATTTCGGGTGTCCCCCTGCCGTGATATTGCCTGAATATTGCTAAAAACGGCGTAAAACTAACTAAACTCACTCATTCTTTACTTGTAATCTTTTGATTGACTGGTACTTTCATATCTTTCAGGAAAATGTGGTTTCTGATATTATTAGCTGCCTTGCCTCCCTTATCAGTGGATGCTAAAGGTGAGTAACCCACAGAAACAGCACAGGAGTTGACACTGTGCAAGTGCACGTTTATTGAAGGTGGTTGACAGTGGAGGTGGACAATATGCACGTAAGTGGTAAAAGTGGTTGACAGCGGAGATGGACGATATGCAAGTAAGTGGTAAAAGTGGTTGACAGTGGAGGTGGACGATATGCACGTTAATGGTAAAAGTGGTTGACAGTGGAGGTGGATGATATGCACGTAAATGGTAAAAGTGGTTGATAGTGGAGGTGGACGATATGCATGTAAATGGTAAAAGTGGTTGATAGTGGAAGTGGACGATATGCATGTAAATGGTAAAAGTGGTTGATAGTGGAGGTGAAAGATATGCATGTAAATGGTAAAAGTGGTTGATAGTGGAAGTGGACGATAGCATGTAAATGGTAAAAGTGGTTGAATAGTGGAGGTGGACGATGTGCATGTAAATGGTAAAAGTGGTTGATAGTGGAAGTGGACGATAGCATGTAAATGGTAAAAGTGGTTGATAGTGGAGGTGAAAGATATGCATATAAATGGTAAAAGTGGTTTATAGTGGAAGTGGACGATAGCATGTAAATGGTAAAAGTGGTTGTCAGTGGAGGTGGACGATAGACACGTAAATGGTAAGAGTGGTTGATAGTGGTGGTGGACAATACGCACGTAAATGGTAAAAGTGGTTGACAGCGGAGGTGGACGATATGCATGTAAATGGTAAGAGTGGTTGACAGTGGAGGTGGACAAAAGCACGTAAATGGTAAAATTAGTTGATAGTGGAGGTGGACGATATGCACGTAAGTTGTAAAAGTGGTTGACAGTGGAGGTGGACGATATGCATGTAAATGGTAAAGTGGTTGATAGTGGAGGTGGACGATATACACGTAAATGATAAAGTGGTGGATAGTGGAGGTGGTGATATGCACGTAAATGGTAAAAGTGATTGACAGTGGAGGTGGACGATATACATGTAAATGGTAAAGTGGTTGATAGTGGAGGTGGACGATATACACGTAAATGGTAAAAGTGGTTGACAGTGAAGGTGAACGATATGCACGTAAATGGTGAAGTGGTTGATAGTGGAGATGGGCGATATGCACGTAAATGGTAAAAGTGGTTGACAGTGGAGGTGGACGATATACATGTAAATGGTAAAGTGGTTGATAGTGGAGATGGGCGATATGCACGTAAATGGTAAAAGTGGTTGACAGTGAAGGTGAACGATATGCACGTAAATGGTGAAGTGGTTGATAGTGGAGATGGGCGATATGCACGTAAATGGTAAAAGTGGTTGACAGTGGAGGTGGACGATATGCACGTAAATGGTAAAAGTGGTTGATAGTGGTGGTGGACGACATGCACGTAAATGATAAAGTGGTTGATAGTGGAGGTGGTGATATGCACGTAAATGGTAAAAGTGATTGACAGTGGAGGTGGACGATATCCACGTAAATGGTAAAGTGGTTGACAGTGGAGGTGGGAGATATGCGCGTAAATGATAAAGTGGTTGATAGTGGAGGTGGTGATATGCACGTAAATGGTAAAAGTGATTGACAGTGGAGGTGGACGATATGCATGTAAATGGTAAAGTGGTTGATAGTGGAGATGGGCGATTTGCACGTAAATGGTAAAGTGGTTGATATTGGAGGTGGACGATATGCACGTAAATGGTGAAAATGGTTGATAGTGGAGGTGGACTATACGCAAGTAAATGGTAAAGTGGTTGACAGTGGAGGTGGACGATATGCACGTAAATGATAAAGTGGTTGATAGTGGAGGTGGTGATATGCACGTAAATGGTAAAAGTGATTGACAGTGGAGGTGGACGATATGCATGTAAATGGTAAAGTGGTTGATAGTGGAGGTGGACGATACGCACGTAAATGGTAAAAGTGGTTGACAGTGGAGGTGGACGATATGCACGTAAATGGTAAAGTGGTTGATAGTGGAGATGGGCGATTTGCATGTAAATGGTAAAAGTGATTGACAGTGGAGGTGGACGTTATGCATGTAGATGGTAAAAGTGGTTGATATTGGAGGTGGACGATATGCACGTAAATGGTAAAAGTGGTTGACAGTGGAGGTGGATAATAAATATACGTGAGTGGTGAAAGTGGTTAACAGTGGAGGTGGATGATATGTACATAAATGGTAAAAGTGGTTGTCAGTGGAGGTGGACGATAGCACGAAAATGGTAAAATTGGTTGGCACTGGAGATGGACAATAGGCACGTAAATGGTAAAAGTGGTTGACAGTGGAGAAGGACAATATGTACGTGAGTGGTAAAAGTTGTTGACAGTGGAGGTGGACGATATGCACGTAAATGGTAAAGTGGTTGATAGTGGAGAAGGACAATATGCACGTAAGTGGTAAAAGTGGTTGACTGTGAATGTGGAAGTGGTAAACGCCTTTTTTTTGTGGAGTTACGTGGTGAAGTGAGAACTAAATGAGGGTATTATTTTTTATATGTTAATGTATGTGTATTGTTGGTTTTGAGACCCCTGACCTTCCTAGAGCTTTGTCTACAGATCATCCCCAACTACCTCCATTACGAAACACATACGAGGTACACATTGAGATGACGTCAGCCAGAGAGAAAAGGACCATAGGTATCGAGGAGTATTTTAATGGAACAACACAACAATCAGCTGTGCGTGTGAAGATACTTGGTGTTTCGAGACACTACTACTTTCACCACGCCCTGAATGAGCTGCTGACAGTGTCTCCCAAGACAGGTACGTACATCCTCATGTCCACTGACGTATGTCCACAGATGTATGAATGTAGACGTATGTCCACTGATGTATGTCCACAGATGTATGGATCGATGTTGACGTATGTCCACTGACGCGTAATACTTATGTATGACCACTGACGTATGACACTAATTTGCGACTGTAGACGTATGTCCACAGATGTATGACTGTAGACGTATGTCCACTGACATAGGACCATTGGCGTATGACCACTGACGTATAACCACTGATGTATAACCGCAGACGTATCACTGATGATGTATCACCACTAACATATGACCACTGATGTATCGTCACTGATGTATGACCACTGATGTATCGTCACTGATGTATGACCGCTGATGCACGTGCACCTACATATGACCAATGACGTTTTACCACTGATGTCGGACCGCAGACACATGACCGCTGACATATTTCCGCTGCAATATGACCACTGACAACTATAACTGTAGACTTATGTTCACTGAGGTATGACCACTGACGTATAACCACTCATGTATGACCGGTGACAAATTACCACTGACAAATGACAGCTGATGTATGACCGCTGACATATGACTGCTGACGTAAGACTGCTGACGTATGACTACTGACATATGACTACTGACGTATGACCGCTGACATATGACCACTGACGTATAAACACTGATGTATGACCCCTGACGGATGACCACTGACTTATGACCACTGAAGTATGACCACTGACGTATGACTGCTGATGTATGACCACAGACATATGACTGCTGTCGTATGACTGCTGATGTATGACTGCTGACGTATGACCACTGACGTATAAACACTGATGTATGACCCCTGACGGATGACCACTGACTTATGACCACTGAAGTATGACCACTGACGTATGACTGCTGATGTATGACCACAGACATATGACTGCTGTCGTATGACTGCTGATGTATGACTGCTGACGTATGACCGCTGAGATATGACTGCTGACGTATGACCACTGATGGATGACTGCTGACATAAGACCGCTGACGTATGACCATAGACGTACGAACACTGCTGAGGTATGACCACTGATGTATGACTGCTGACGTATGACTACTGACATATGACTGTTGATGTATGACTGCTGACGTATGACCACTGACATGACTGCTGACGTATGACCACTGACGCATGACATTCGATGTATGACCACTGACGTATGACAGCTGACGTATGACCACTGACGTATGACCACTGACGAATGACCACTGACCTTTGACGGCTGTCATACAGCTGCCATATTGCTATCGTATTAAACATGAAGCAAACTAACAAACATGCTCCATGTTTGACAAACCTGTTAATGTTGTCGCCATTTACGATCCACATACGTTCATAGATTCTAAATAGCTTAAGACACGTCCATGAGACAATACCACACCAGAGTTGACTGTTGGTCAGGTAATACGGAACTGGCTTTCCCCATACCAGTGTCGATATCATCATGCTCTGTGTAGTTATATGTTGCCAGATGCCAAACAAGGCAGTCATACTCTAAACGCTATTATACTTGACAAAATAAGTTAGGGATATGGGGATTTTTATGATTGATTTTATCAGTGTGTCAATGAATAAATAGATCGTTATTGATAATTTCAAATTTACATATATCCCTAACTATTTTTCTCAAGTATATTTTAATCCTGGTCAATTGGTCAGTATGCACTTGATTTTGATTCTCAACTCGCTGGGGAGTATGCCTGTGTAACCTACCAATACCCGGGGCAGAATTGGTCATAGGAAAGCAATGTTTGTCTTGAGAGGCCACGGACGGTCTCAGGTGGTCAGTCTCGCTGACTTGGTTGACACAAGCACGGCATAACATTCGTGGATCGTGCTCATGCTGTCAATCACTGGGTTGTCCTGTTCAAATGCGATTATTTACAGACAGTCCTATTATTACTGGAACAAACCTAATATAATTCCAAGGGTATGAATCTTGCAATATGACTGTGCTGGATTCACTCTTTTTCTTTAGGAACGTGCAATGTGACGGATCTACCGACATCCGCGTTGAGCCAACTATTCGGTTACTATGGCAACGTGTCCAGTATTCTCCAGCTGGGCCGAGACAGGACCCAGGTGTTTCAGGGATCCGATACCGTGAGGGGAATCCGAGTCCGAAAGTGGACATCCTGCCACACCTGGCAGACTGTTAATGCAACCATGAACGTGACATGGTATTATACAGGTGAGACTAAACAGTTCAAAGGTCATCATTTCGATACCTTGCTGAAACTATGACAGCGCGTCGACACGCTAATGATAATCTTGGGGACAGTAATGGGGATAACGATGATAATGTTAGTGACAGTAATGGGGATAATGATGATAATGTTAGTGACAGTAATGGGGATAATGATGATAATGTTAGCGACAGTAATGATGATGTTAGTGACAGTAATGGGGATAGTAATGATAATGTTAGTGACGGTATTGGGGATATTAATGACAATGTTAGTGACAGTAATGGGGAATAGATGATAATGTTAGTGACAGTAATGGGGATAGTGATGATAATGTTAGTGACAGTAATGGGGATAGTGATGATAATGTTGGTGACAGTAATGGGGATAATAATGATGATGTAAGCGTCAGTAATGGGGATAATGATGATAATGTTAGTGACAGTAATGGCGATGATGATGATAATGTTAGTGACAGTAATGGGGATAATGATGATAATGTTAGTGACAGTAATGATGATGTTAGTGACAGTAATGGGGATAGTAATGATAATGTTAGTGACGGTATTGGGGATATTAATGACAATGTTAGTGACGGTAATGGGGAATAGATGATAATGTTAGTGACAGTAATGGGGATAGTGATGATAATGTTAGTGACAGTAATGGGGATAGTGATGATAATGTTGGTGACAGTAATGGGGATAATAATGATGATGTAAGCGTCAGTAATGGGGATAATGATGATAATGTTAGTGACAGTAATGGCGATGATGATGATAATGTTAGTAACAGTAATGGGGATGATGATGATAATGTTAGTGACAGTAATGGGGATAGTAATGATAATGTTAGTGACGGTATTGGGGATATTAATGACAATGTTAGTGACGGTAATGGGGGATAGTGATGATAATGTTAGTGACAGTAATTGGGATAACGATCATAATGCTAGTGACAGTAATGGGGATAATGATGATAATGTTAGTGACAGTAATGGGGATAACGATGATAATGTTAGTGACAGTAATGGGGATAATGGTGATAATGTTAGTGACAGTAATGGGGATAGTAATGATTATGTTAGTGACAGTAATAGGAATAATGATTATGATGTTAGTGACAGTAATTGGGATAATGATGATGATGTTAGTGACAGTAATGGGGACAATGATGATAATGTTAGTGACAGTAATGAGGATAATGATGATAATGTAATTGACGGTAATGGGGATAATGATGATAATGTTAGTGACAGTAATGGGAATAATGATGATAATGTTAGTGACAATAATGGGGACAATGATGATAATGTTAGTGACAGTAATGGGGATAATGATGATAATGTTAGTGACAGTAATGGGGATAGTGATGATAATGTTAGTGACAGTAATGGGGATAGTGCTGATAATGTCAGTGACAGTAATGGCGATGATGATGATAATGTTTATGGACAGTAATGGGGATAATCACTGTATTATATAACCAAATTGTTGCCTTGCTTGTGACAGATCCGGACAAGTGGGATACTGGGTGTGGTCTCATGGAGGTTCCTGTTCGAGCCTGGGTTCAAGGCCACTCTGGTCCGGTCGGTGGCAATAAATACTTCGATCATATCTACGACATGTTTCACTTCAGTGCCTCTATTTCCACCAAAGACGCTTTACAGGTGATAAAACCACACAGAGTTTGCTCATTGTGAATGTTAGGAATGTGGTAAACTGTATCCCAGTTTACCCGATGTATTCGTTGAATACATCGATCGAAACGTTGTGTCTCCGATTCAGAAACCACCGGGAAACCTTTCAAGAAAAGAATGTGTTTGTGAATTTTGTTCCGTTAAGGATGAAGCTTGTCGTAAGAGACGACAAACGGGGTCGGGTGGTCAGGCTCGCTGCTTTGATTGTCATCGTATGCCCATCGATGCTTATTCAGTTGGTCACTGGATTGTCTGGTCCAGATTCCATTACCTACAGACCAACGCCATAAATTTTAGAATACTGTTAACAACAAACAATGCTGACAAACTTCATGGATAACTTCTTTTATTTCGTAATTAAATAATTGACACAATAGGCTGGGTAATATGCTGTCACTTTCAGCATCCATACATCCCCTCCACTTCATGTTACATTCCTTCTTGACAACGGAACAAGGATCTGTAATGAAACGTCTCATGTACGAAATAAAAGAAGTTGTTTTCTGTAAAGTTTGCTAATATTGTACTTCCAAACTTCTAAAATGCACATCCGTGAAGATCCGGGTTAGAATTAGTCTTCAGTTACTCATGCTTGTCGTTAGAGGTGACTAACGGGATCGGGTGGTCAGGCTCGCTGGCTTGGTTGACACATGTCATCGTATCCCAGTTATGTAGATCGATGCTCATACAGTTGGTCACTGGATTGTCTGGTCCAGACTCGATTATTTACAGACCACTGCCATATAGCTGGAATATTGCTGAGTACGGCGTAAAACTAAACTCACTCACTCCAAAACGCCCCCTCATTGGTACAATGTGTGAAGCCAATTTCTCTTGTCCCCCGCTGTGATATTGCTGGAATATTGTAAAATGCGGCGTGAAACTAAACTCACCCACTCACTCTAAAATGTCACTCAGAGAAGTTACCAAACAAAGAAAGATATGGTGATAATATAGGCAGTTTCTTTACACACACGGGGCTGTGTGGTTGCCTATTGTTTAAAGCCTCGGGCGATTAACATAAGGGCCTAGTGGTTCGCTCGTCACGCTGAAGCACCGGGTTCGATTTCCCACATGGGTACAATGTGTAGTTCCATTTCTGGTTCTCCAATAGCGAAGTGAAACATAGGTCAATCTCTCTGAACATTCATATCTAAAACATTGTCCAGGTTGGGTTTTTCCAGTTTATTTAACACCCAGCTCAAGAAATTACCATTTTTTGGCAGGTGCCCGATCTCATCTACTGTCCCAATCACAGAGGAAGCAAGACGATGCCTACCGTGCCGTCATCTTTTACTGTCCAGTCTGAAATGGTACAGACAAATGCTGATTTACTCAGTAATGTCCAGGTAGGGGTGAACACAAACTTCATTTGTTTTGACATCACGCAGCAAGCGAGAGAATCTGTTCATTCAGGAAATAGAATCTGAGAATGTCAAATGATTCCAGTGATTCCTTCGACTTAGATTATGTGTTGGTTGAGTACATTATTCAATGATTTTGCACAATGATCTGTAGTTGAGGTAGTCTACGTTGCAATGTACTCTCAGAAAGAACAATTAATTCTTTCACATGTTAAAATCATTTGAATTGACGTTTCAAGGTTTACACAGGAAGTGCGACTGAGCTTTCTCTTATACCTCATTATACTAAAATTTATGATGAAGTCAGGTTTTGCATACAAAATACGTCATGAATAATACTTATTTCACGGTTTATATTAAATATCTAAACCCACAAAAAAATATTGTGATCGATATGAAGTATTTGACATCGTTCAATGCAATAATCCAACACATTCTCGTATCGCCAGGCCTGGAGACAGGAGCTTGGGAATGGGTGTGGTGGCATAATTGTTTGGGGTTTTTGTTTTTTTATTGTTTTGGGTTTGTTTGGGTTTGTTTTGTTTTATTGTTTTTTGTTGTTGTTTTTTGTTTTTCAAAATATAAACAAATTTGTCGGAATGTTTGGAAATGTCCCAGCAACAACTTCAAGTAATTGAAACAACACGAACTTGTTGTTTGTTGTGAACTTACCACCGTGTTAATCAAATAGTATCCAACAATTAATAATCTAGTGTAGTACACTATGACGTAGCAACTACATAACATATGGGGCGGTGGCGGTGGGCTCGTCTAGTGGTTTAAGCGTCCGCTCGTCACACTCAAGACTCTGGTTCGATTCCCACATCTCAAAGTCAAAGTCTTTATTCAGTTACAGTTAAGAATTTGCCGTGACAAAAGGTTTGTGAGTCCCATTTTGAACCAGCAAAATAAAACACAGACAAGTCTAAAATATCCAATAATATATTGAATAAACAATGAGCAGGGTACAATTGAATATCAGTACAGATTTCTAATACAATATTATGGATTCACAAACCTAAACTATTGGGTCACAAATCTAAAATATCAACTAAATGTCTATAATTACCGCACGTAGTCTTGATTCTTGTAATATATGTACTGATTGAAGGTTGAGTTGGCGAGGTCAGCTGACACGTCAATAGGGCGTCAGTTAGCCCCTGTGCGAGGATTCTTAATTTAGGTCACCGACACCGTCGTTTGTTTTCTGCCTTAGACTAATCGTAATTATCCTTAGAAAGTCTTCAATTTGGCATCTTAGAAAAGAAATACAGTTCGCTCTACCACCATGTAGAGAGTAATAAACCACACTTTCGCCCTGAACTATTATAGTTAAAGTACGAGGACGCTTGCTTGTAAACAATATTTTATATATTCATATATCACCTTTATGGCGTCACTGGCACAGGTAACAGTTACTGTTCATTAGGTTTACCTGATGATGGGGCCAGAACAAGCCCTGAAACGTTGTATCAAAGAATAAAGAGAAAAAGATGAAATCCAAAAAATTATTTCTGTTCATCAAATAGCATCTTCTAAAATGCCAATCAAGCATTCAAAACAGTCGTGTCAAAGTCGTGTGTTAGTTATCCGTACATATCAGAAACAACCGCGTTTATATCCTTCATTCAGTTCTGGAGAAATCCAGCAAAAACGACGGCAGAACACAAAGTTCGAATCGATTCTTGACTCTTCCGGAAGCGGGGGCGGTGGGGTAGCCTGATGGTTAAAGCGTTCGCTCGTCACGCCGAAGACCCGGGTTCGATTCCCCACATGGGTACAATGTGTTAAGCTCATTTCTGGTGTCCCCCGCCGTGGTATTGATGGAATATTGCTAAAAGCGGCGTAAAACCAAACTCAATCACTCTTCCGGAAGCAGACTATGAACAAGCATCAAGAAAAGGGCAGGTAACTCTAATCGCAGCTCCCCAGCCGACTCTCTCAACAGGCGGAATAACATACCCTAAACAAGATGAGAGTTCAAATCAGAGTCAGCGCTTTAAACTTTTGTGACCCATATTGATGAAAACAGTGAATCAATGTGAAATCTTAATTAACAAAACCACACTCTCATAACACAGTATTGGAGGCCTCGTGGCCAAGATTACAAAGTGTTTTGAAATACACATTTTTGTGTGGAATGCTCACTGAAATGTACCTGATTTTTTTTCTGATATGTACAATGTTCTCATTTGTAGAATATTTGCATTGTACAAGAAATGATAATTCAGTTTATATAACACATGAAAACCTTATTGCACAATATATGAATCATTTCATATAAAGATTTCTTTTCAAATACAATGCGAATCGGTTCAATATATTAACATTAATTGTTGATGAAATATGTTGTTGTAGTTTTTGTAGGAGAGTGATGAAAATATGTTGAAATGGACAACTCAAAATGAAGTGAAATTTCGACAGCCATATTGTCACACATATTAAGGCAGATAGATCATCGTTTTCTTTACTTTGCTTATAACGTTGTTTCTGAATCCTCAAGTAATGAGGAAGTATACCAAACTATAGATTTTGATAATAACTAAACTTCTGTAATCAATAGTGTTTTATAAGAACTGTAGTGACAAATAAAATGTTCTACTACTGATTTTTACACCAAATCTGGATTTTAAATCTGTACATCGCTATTTAAACAATCTTAGAATATATTTCATATCTCCACAATTTTGGGTTATATGGGTATATGAGAATCCAGTTTAAAAAAAAATCTGATGTGGGACACCCAGTCTGTACTGCCGTGCTCGACCCGTGAAGGTCCGGGTTGGAATTGATCTTCAGTAACCCATGCTTTTCTAAGAGTAGAATAACCGGATTGGGTGGTCAGGCTCGCTGACTTGCTTTGCACAGTCATGTCATTGGTTCCCAACTGCACAGCTCATGCTGTTGATCACTGGATTGTCTGGTCCAGACTCGATTATTTACAGACCGCGACCATATTGCTGGAATATTGTTGAGTGCGGCGTAAATCTAAACTGACTGACTGGCTGACTGACTGACTCAGTCAGTCAGTACTGCAGTGGTCATCTTGATCTTCTGTCAAGGTATAACAATCGTGCTTGTATCTATTCGCATTCATACAGATCAGTCTGCACCAACAGTGAGCGCATTTACAAAAACAATTCGCACTTACGTTATGCCGCCCAATACCTCCCAGTACTGCGCTGGATGAGCAAGGTATATACCAAGGTATCTTTTAAAGGAGGCATCTTTTAAAGGAGGCACTTTGAACGTATATCATAATATATATATATATATCTCGATATATATATATATATATATATATATATATATATATATATATATATATATATATATATAGAACGCATTAGTGCATTTGGATGTTTTGTATTGAAAGAGAAGATGTCATGGGAACAGAGAAACAACAAGTTCGAAGGACGAGTTGTTTTATCTGCTCCCATGACGTCTTCAAGTTCAATAAAAACATCAAAATGCACTAGTGTGACGTTCTATATTTATTATATACCCTCTTATCTGGCATTGATCTGTTACTTAATAAAACAAATCATAGCGTAGCAATGTAGAACCGGCAGGGGTCCAATACGGAATCTGGGGTGCAATACGGGACATGATGACGTCATCCGTATTGCACCCCTGTCTTACTGTCCTATGTTTACATGGGTATATGATAAAACACCAGATTTCACAACCATATAACAGAATCGGTAATATTTTAGTGTCAATCATTTTAGCAAATGTTTTAAGTGATATATCAGAATATTTACTGAATAAACTAAATATAGGAAAACATGCTTTCCTGATTTGCAAGGCAATAGTTTCACAAGCACGTGGCCATGATGGTCTAGTAAATATTATACCAAGGTATTTAGATTGTGTACTTACTAACATCGTGGATACTATACGGGTAATGCTATTTTGAGGGCATTATCATTTGCAGAAGCTTTAGGTCTTCCATTAACTGCCCGACGAAGGGCGTCTGCAAATGATAATGCCCTCCAAAATAGCATTACCGTTATTATTGCTAAAATACATTGAGTTTGTGTTGAAAAGTAATAGGAAACAATGAAAGAATGTGTCTGTAAGTTTACTCAAAACCAACTTCTGACGGGGTTGACTGACCGAGTGCAATTACGTCATCGAACAGTTCAAGTGACGTCACAACAGAACGTGACGATATTCGACCTTGGCCTGCAACATGTCAGACTATGTCAGTGTTCGGTTTTTGTCCAACAACAACATTAATAGTGCAATTGTTAAGGTTAGCACCAGCAAGAATGCCAATATTACCGCTATTTATCTGTCTGTCCAAAGTTCAAAGCCCACGCACCCACTATGACGTCACTTGACATCAGAACTCATAGTGGCCCGTCGTTAAGGTTGAGCGGTCCAATATCATTTGCAGCGGCCCGCACATTTCTGATAATAGGAGGGCGTTTCATGATAATTCCATGTATTTTAGATATAGTATAAAGGTAACGCTATTTTTCAGACCATTATCATTTGCAGAATCCCGAGGTCGTTCATTAACTGCCTGACGAAGGAGAGCAGTTGAAAAGACCGAGGGCTTCTGCAAATGATAATGCCCTGAAAAATAGCATTACCGTTGTTATAGCTAAAATGGATAGAATTTCTAATAACATAAGAATAAAAACAACGGCATCGGTTTTGAAGCATTTATTGCTAACAACAAACGACGGAGGTCACTGACACACCTTTTACAAATATGGAAACGTCATAGAACAAAACAGATGACGTCACTATTGAGAGTGACGACGTTCGACCTTGACCTTTGCCCATACTACCAGCAGCAAATTCTTTTCAGTGCTCAACAACGTTAGAGTTCCAGTCGATGTTTTCATTGCTGTATGTTGTAATTTATGGTACAATTGTTAAGGTTGACACCGGCAAGAAAGTGCATAAAGGCACTGTTACATGTGGCGAATGTAAGTCAATAATGAACCGTAGGTGATTGAACATCAAGAGCCGAGCTACTTATGACGTCACGTAACAACCGCCTTGATAATGGCCCGTCGTCAAGCATTTTGCGGGCATTATCAAATTACAGTGGCGCGCTCATTTCTGATAACGTGCGGGCGTTTTAATGATAATTCTATCCATTTTAGCTATACAATGTGTTAAGCCCATTTCTGGTGTTCCCGAAGTGATATTGCTGGAATATCGCTCAACGCAAATTAACCAGAAGTTGTCATCCATAAAGTTGTATGTTTCATTTATTGCTGGAATAGTGCTGAAAACGACGTTAAAGCATACTCACTCACTCACTATATTGGAGTATTCTAGTCGTCATATTTGTTGTCAATATAAGAGCAGAATGCAAGCAGATGTGTTCATTTTGTTTGCAGATATGGCTGGACGCAAAGATGAAACTAGCTAAACACATATACGACGAAAACAGTCACATACAGGATTTCAATACAGGTGAGTGTCCAGACAACAGAGATGCAGTTTATTCTAACACTGGTATTTTTTGTTTGCCTGAGTTTACAGGTTCAGCTTGGATGATTGTTAACGCTGTAAAGTGAATTGTAAATGCTTTCGTGGCGTTCCTTTGTAGGCGTTTCTTACGTCATGGACTTGGCAAGAGGGAACTGCAGCGTTTCACACATAGGCAAAACTGACGTTACTACGCATAACGGGATGATTCAGACTGCGGCGGAAATGTTTCTCATGGACGTTACTGACACCGACTACAGAGGAACAGTAAGGTTTAGGTTGACGTTGGTGTGGGTGGCAACGTTGAAGACGTTAGCCGCCTCTGTTTAATCTGCAACACACACTATTTGACCTACATACATTACATGAGGTGAGATGAGATGGGGTTTAACGTCGTACTTGAGAATATTTAGCTCATATGACGACGTGCATGCGTTTGTATGTGTATGTGCGGCTGCTTGTATTAGCCCAGACTTAAGCTGGTTTTATAGTGCTAGCTAACTGAGATACCATGCCGCAGTTAAGCATGAATACCCCACTCAGACACAGTATACTGACTCGGAACCGACCAGTTCTTGCTGTACCCATTAATGCCGAGCGCCAGGCAGGGACCAACAAGTACCATATGTTAACGTCTTTTGGTATGACGCGCCCGGGGATCGAAACCGTGACCTTCCGCTCTCCGGGCGGACGTTCTAACCACGGAGGCGGTTTTATACATTACGTGGGGCGCAAAAACGAACTTGCCTAATGGCCGCTTGTTTACACTTTCACGCGCATGGTAGCTAATGATGCATAGTGATAATTTAGTGGGCACAATACCTGTTATAACATTTACATAAACGTACTACTATGTGGCATAACATGTTGTAAGTTATGGACTGAAACAATGTCCTTAAGTTTCCCCCTTAATCCACTTTCTCCCTCTCTGCTCCCTTCCCCCTGTACACGTATTCATCTCTATCTATCTATTTATCTCACATACTCTCTCACTCTCTCTCACTTCTCTCTGTCTCGCTCATACACACGCATACACACACTCTATCTCCGTCTATTTCACACTCTCTCTCTCTCTCTCTCTCTCTCTCTCTCTCTCTCTCTCACACACACACACACACCCTCACACATTCTCCCTCTCTCTGCCCCCTCTCTCTCTCACTTTCTTTCGCCCTCTCGTTTTAATGTAAAAGGCCTTGTTTCAGAAAATTATTCGAAACATACCGACCGATGTATTCGTGGCAACCCGTACGGACTTCCCTCCCGAAATGCCCGTGAACACCATCATAGAGTGGTACTTTTCCAAGGTAAATCCTGACTTCAATCAACATCTATACTTGAACCATACGAACTCAAGTCCACAAAGCAGAGTTGTGTGTGTCGAGCTACTTCCGATAAAGTCTTGCACACAATAACGGGACATTTGAAAATGTGCTCTTCAAGAAAGGTAGTGGAACTTCATTATAAATTTTACAAATTGAAATAATTGGAGCCAAGCAATGTTGATATGAGAATAATTAATATTTTGAGAGTGCATGACCACTTGCACTTCCATATGACCATAGGTATTTGTACAGTAATCGCTCTTGAAAGATGATTGGTGGATGACGTGAAATTTGAATGTGTACGATTTTCATTTAAAAACAACAACAAAAAACGGCCAGAAACAAACACTAACATCTGAGTGATGCAAGATGATTGTCATAATTAGTAATCTACAGTGATTTATCGACCTCTTTAAAAACCGTTAAAATTAAGAATAACACCCCATGCACGTGTATGGGGCTACTGCGTTGTGCACTGCATCCCATGCGTTATGTTTAGGTGTGGTGATAAAGAGAATGGTAGGGCGTTCATAAGATTCTGTCTTTGATAGGTTTGTTAACGCTTGTATTTCCTATCCAAATTAAAAGTTCAGGTTCCCCTAAGTTAAAAGCCATGTTTTTCTGTAATGACGTGTTGTTGCATGTGACAGGAAAAAGAGTCGTCACTAACAGCGGGGACCCTGGTCCAGATGAAGATTGATATGCCGCAAGTAATAATAATAATAATAATAATACTAATAATAATAATAAGGCCCATGTACAGCCTCAGAAGAATTCCTGCCAACAAACCTGATCTTGTCCTCTTTGATAAAGCCAATGAATTTATTTATATCATTGAATTTTCTGTCCCTTTTGACACCAATGTGATTGGCAAGATTCAGGAAAAGCATGATAAATATGCGGACCTCGCCTTTGAAATGTCTCGCTTGCATCCCAAGTACACTGTCGCCAGGCTCCCCATTGTGCTCGGTGCCCTTGGTTTGGTACCTCCTGATCTCTTGGCGCAGATCAGGAGAGTGCCCGGGTTCTCCACTGGGAGCACAGCCCTTCAGACACTCTGGGTAATGCAGAAGGCTGCAGTGTTGGGGAGCCTTCATATTCTCCGGAAAGTTCTTGGTGGGTTCGACTAGGCAGCGTTTCCTGGGATAAGTCCCATTCGCTGTCTGGGCTGCGTGTAGAGGGGGCAAGGGCCCTGAGCTGATGATGAGCCTTACCAGCCTGACTGTGCCAGGATCACCCGAACCCTCTCTGCTGCATACAATCTTTAATCTGTAAAACATGATAATAAACATAAACGTCAGTGTGTGCCAGGATCACTCGAATATGTTGATTTTGTGGACGGTTCTGTACTGCTGGAACATGTGTGTAAAGAAAGGAGAGCGCCATATCAAATCACCACAGACTCAAGCGAAGGCTCTCTGAACCACTGCAGTTCACGTGCAGTGTGTTGAGGTGAGTAGTCTCCCTGTTAAGTTCTTCGCGCGGAGAAAGTCGGCTGGACTGACAATTGCAACGGAAGGCTTTCTGTTTGCTGCGCAGGACTACCGCTCACTTCCACTCAGTCGATGTGTGATTTTACGTCAAGATTTAAATGGGAAAGAAAGACTGTGTAATGAATTTAATGGCACTGGCCAGCAATGTGAGTGGATGGTTTTGTATCTCCTGATGTCTTGGCGCAGATCGGGAGCGTGTTGAGCTCTCAATCGGGAACACAGCCCTTCTGACACTCAAGGTAATGCGGAAGGCAGCAGTGTTGGGGAACCATCACATTCCCCAGGAAGATCTTGGTTGGTTCGACTAAGTAGTGCTTCTTGGAGACGTCCCATTTGCTTTCTTGCCTGCGCGTACAGGCTTAACTTTGCTGCATTCACCTTTGTCAATCTGTAAAACCCATGGACACATAAAAGGTTCTGAATGATCTAGGACTAAAATCGGAACGAAGCAGGCTTCGAACCCAAAACCATAGGTTTGAGGGTATCCCTTTCTCCCTTGGGCCTCGACTGGGCCAACTGAGTTCCATGGTATTGATGATAAAAGCAATGATGATGATGATGATGATAATGATAATGATGATGATGACGATGATGATGATAACGATTTAAGCACCCCCTGGAGGTACATTCTTCACTGGATACAGAGTCATTTACATGTGGTTGCAGCTGACGGAGGAGCTGGTGTACAACATGTTTGATCTGATCCCCTACAACACGGACCTGTCGACGTGGGACGTGAGCTCCTGCTATCAGAACCTCCCTAGACGCTTGTTCCAGTTCGCCGTGGCCGGTACTTAATATCACATCTCAACTAAGCAGCTTCACTATAATGTATAAATACGTTTCTAATCTCCATCTCTCTCTCTCTCTCTCTCTCTTCTCTCCTCCCTCTCTCCCTGTCTCTCTTTGTCTCTCTGTCTCTTTGTGTCTCTGTCTCCCTCTCTCTCTGTCTACTCTCTCCCCCTCCTCCCTCTCACCCTGTTTCTCTGTGTCTTCCTCTCTGTCTCTTTGTATCCCTCTCGCTCTCTCTCTCCACCTCCTCCCTGTCTCTCTTTGTCTCTCTCTCCCTCTCTATCTCCTATCTCTCTCTCCCTCTCTCTCTACCCTCTTCTCTCTGTCTCTCTCTCTCTCCGTCTCTCTCCCTCTCTCTCTACCCCTCTCTCTCCCTGTCTCTCTCTCTGCCTCTTTGTCTCCCTCTCTCTCTGGGGCGGTGGGGTAGCCTAATGGTTAAAGCGTTGGCTCGTCACGCCGAAGACCCGGGTTCGAATCCCCACATGGGTACAATGTGTGAAGCCCATTTCTGGTGTCCCCCGTCGTGATGTTGCTGGAATATTGCTAAAAGCGACGTAAAACCAAACTCAGTCAGTCAGTCCCTCTCTCTCTCTGTCTCTCTCTCCACCTCCCCCCTCTCTCCCTGTCTCTCTTTGTCTCTCTGTCTGTTTGTCTCCCTCTCTCCCTCTCTCTCCCTCTCTCTTTGACTCTCAGAATGACTCTCATATGTAAGAGAAATGTAGAGTTAAACAGATCCCGAACTCCCGTTCCAATGAATCTATGGCGATGCGTTGGTCAGATGTACGTGTCGTATTGCAGCATATCATTTCTATTGTGACTCAGACGAGATAAACTGTTTCTGTTTGTTCCAGGTACCTACAGTGATATGATACAGACTCATTCTGAGTTGTTTAAGTACAGTGTCATCATGACTGTCATTGGCCTAACGGGAGTATCACCACTAAGGGTTGCCAACTTTGAGGTACAGTAATATCTCACAACATCTCAGGGATTGCTTATGAGCGTAGGTCATGAAATTGTGGAGGAAAACAGGGGAAAGGTTGGAAAATATGATTTTGTCTAAGAAATAGTAAATTGCTTTTACGTAATGTGGAATCAGCTCCGTGAAATAATGGAAATGATTATTCTCTGTGAATCATGGATTGAATGTCAGGTGCATGTGAGTGAGTGAGTGAGTGAGTGAGTGAGTGAGTTTAGTTTTACGCCGCCCTATTTTACGCAATATTTTAGCTATATGGCGCCGGTCTGTAAATAATCTAGTCTGGACCAGACAATCCAGTGATCAACAGCACGAGCATCGAGTGAGTGAGTGAGTACGTGAGTTACGCCGTACTCAAGAATAAAGAGAAGATGTAAGCCAGAAAAATCTCTATGTTCATCAAAAAAGGCCAATCAAGCATCTAAGAGGTGATTGTACGCTTGCTGAAGCTGTAATACCAGTAGGTATGATCAACTGACCACTCGTAATCTCGACTTCAGTTGGTTGGTTGGTGTTGTTTAACGCCACGCTCAGCAGTATTCCAGCTACACTGCGGCGATCTCTAAATAATCGAACCTGTACCAGACAATCGAGTGATCAACAGCATGAGTATCGATCTACGCATTTGGGATACGATGACATGTGTCAACCAAGTCAACGAGCCTGACCACCCGATCCCGTTAGTCGCCTCTTACGACAAGCATGGGTTGTTGAAGATCAAATATAACCCGGATCTTCACGGGTCTCACCTTTTACGGCAAGCATGGGCTGCTGAAGATCAATGCATTCATTGGTTGATATATCGTGTAACAGATTTTATAGACGTATCCAAAAAGAAAGGGAACATGGATACTTTGGTGATAGTATTACGAAATCGTCCCCAGCATTCACTTCAAAATGATACCCCGTCAACACTCATGACCCTTAACCCATTTGTCCACTATGCTCTAAATATTGACTGTCTACGACCATCAGCTGATACGGGAGGGTGGAATAATGGTCACTATTAATGTATTGCAGATGGAGTACAAGAAGAATGTATTGGTCAGTTTTGACATGCTGGGAGTGGCACCCGTCCCCGTCAGCGTAAATGTGACACAGACACCGCTAGATGTCGCGGGAGATATGTTACAGCGAACGTTCCACCAGAATCGGTTCTTCGTCTACCTTCCTAACGAGCCCGAGGTGAGTGTATCTGGACAGGATCACCTTAGTCAGTCAGTGAGTGAGTGAGTGAGACAGTGGGACAGTGAGTGAGTCAGTCAGTGAAGCAGTGAGTGAGTGAGACAGTGAGTGAGTGAGACGGTGCGTGAGTGAGACAGTGAGACAGTGAGTCAGTCAGTCAGTGAGACAGTGAATCAATGAGACAGTGAGTGAGTGAGGAGTGAGTGAGTGAGTGAGACAGTGAGTCAGTGAGACAGTGAGTCAGTGAGACAGTGAGAGTGAGATGGGTGAGACAGTGAGTCAGTGCGTGAGTGAGACAGTGCGTGAGTGAGACAGTGAGTGAGTGAGACAGTGAGTGAGTGAGACAGTGAGTGAGTGAGACAGTGAGTGAGTGAGACAGTGAGTCAGTGAGTGAGTGAGACAGTGAGTCAGTGAGACAGTGAGTCAGTGAGACAATGAAACAGTGAGACAGTGAGTCAGTGAGGCAGTGAGTGAGCCAGGCAGTGGGACAGTGAGTGAGTCAGTGAGTGAGACAGTGAGTAAGTCAGTCAGTCAGTCAGTGAGACAGTCAGTCAGTCAATCAGTGAGACAGTCAGTCAGTCAATCAGTGAGACAGTCAGTCAGTCAATCAGTGAGACAGTCAGTCAGTCAATCAGTGAGACAGTCAGTCAGTCAATCAGTGAGACAGTCAGTCAGTCAATCAGTGAGACAGTCAGTCAATCAGTGAGACAGTCAGTCAGTCAATCAGTGAGACAGTGAGTGATTCAGTTTAGTAATCAAACCCAGTACATTTGCACCCTGGATAACTGAGATTTCAAAACTGCACCTAGAAAATACCCTCACCTTGTATAACCTTCATCCCGTATATCGTAACCCTGCATTGACTTCCTAAAGCCGGAATGGTGCACCCTGTAGATATATATAAATACTCTTGTGTTGCCAGCCCACCGTCATCAGTCCAGTTCCGAATTCCCTTAGAGAAATATCTGTGGACGAATCAACAACCGCATCCACTCCACCAACCGCGACGACACCAACAACTGTGCACACGACACCTTTAGTGACGACACCAACAACTGTGCGCACTACACCTTCCGTGACGACGCCAACAACGACTATTGGTCAGTGAGGTTTCATTCTCGAGGTCCATCTATAGCAGAATGAGAGAATTTTGGGGAAAAAAGTGAGAAAAAAAAATAATCATGACTACCCGAAAATTGATTGACGGCTTGTAACACAAAGAGCACAATTTGATCACTTATCCGCTGGGATATGAAAGCCTTGTTCTATTTAAGAAGTGGAATCGATATGTTTATAAATTTGTCATTAGTTGTGCTATTAAAACTTTTCGATATTACCTATATTGATGTATGCTACGGAAATTTGGGGTTTTCATCCTTCTCAAGATATTCTTAATGTACATGATAAATTCTTAAAGGAAATGTTGCATCTTCCAAGGGCAGTTCCAAATATTTTAGCTCGTGGTGAATTGCGTCGTTATTCACTGAAAGTAAATCAATTTGTAAGAATTATCAGTTTTTTGGTACGGTTGATTCAACAGAATGATAATATAATCTTATCAAATGCGTATCTTTATCAATATAGACTAGCAGAACCATTATTGGCATGAGTATATTAATGCCGCTCCATAATACATGTGAAGGTTCACATTTATGCGTAATGTTGTACATTTTTATAACAGTTATAACAAGTTATCTCTGAATAATAACAATATTGGATATCAACAATTTAACGTGGTTTTGTTTCGTGGCTAGTTGATCCAATCGTTTTGATGTAATAATGAAGTGAGGGACTGACCGTAGAATATGACATATAACTGTATAATGGGCCTGTGGCCCCTTTATTGAATAAACCAATTATTATTATTCGGAACAGCGGGGTGATTGTGTGCACTGGGCGGCTCGGTGAGGATATCGTTGACGTTAGATACAAATCATACAATTGATTTACATTCCTTGATGGCACGTTGCCAAGAACACCAGTCATTTCGTCATCTCTTCAGGATTCTGTAAGTGTGTCCATTCTCGCAGATGTATCTTCCACTTCAGGGTGTGGGAAGGAATTTGTAATCCAACTGTATGTTTGCCATAGCGAAAGTGATACATGATTACCTCATTTTGCCAGAATTATCTGGTACAATTTCTTGACACTGATTAAACGTTTGAGTACATTTACTCACCCATCGGTGTATACTCAGAGTGAACATATTTTATGAAATCAATCAACACTGAAAACAATTTCTGAGTGAACTCACTCACCTATCACATGCGTACCAGAGTGAACAGAGTTCATGAAACTTCAACAATTCCGGATAACAGTTCACATTTTAGCATTTCCCTCCCAGTTAATCCCTTACAAAAACAACACACGACATCAAAGTTACACCGTCTGTCCACGTCCTGCGAATGCAAAATTTCAGGTTGTCCTCGTCCTGAGAATGAACCATTTTAACAATGTGGGAAATCGAACCCAACCGCCCCATAGTACGCCCAGATATGTCGCCATGGTAACCGATGTGTGACATATTTCAGATGGTCCCAAACATAGACGTATACCTCAGACGTTTACACACCAGTACATTTGATCATGCCGTTATTGATAAAACTAATTAAAAGTTGTATATCATTAAATTCTGTACCATGTCAATAATATGCTTGACAAGATTGGGGGAAAACACGGGGCACACAATGGCATCACTGAAATGTCTCGCTTGCATCCCAGGCACCAAGCTGTCACACTCAACATTGTTCATGGTGCTTCAGGTTTGGAATAGTATATCATGTTTTTGACTGACGTTGGGGTAGCCCTGTGGTTAAAGCGTTCGTTCCTCACGCCAAAGACCAAGGTTCGATTCCCCACGTGGATACCACGTCTGAAGCCCGCTTCCGTTTCTATTGCGTAAAACCATGCTCAACTCACTCACTCACTCGCTCAATGCTGCCCGGGTTTGCTGCCCGTCTGACTCCCCGTGTAATGCAAAAGGCGTCAGTGTTGGGGACTCAAAAAAAATTTCGAAAAGTTGTTGGTACGTTCACCTGAACCGTCCTAGCTGATTTTAACGATTTTAATCTGTAAATGATGATGATGTTACAGGTTACCTCCCCTTGCCTAAATTCCCCTTCGTGTATGAGGTCTACATCCAGAAAGTAATGCCGGAACTCAACATGTCAACGGAAACATACGAGGCTTTCGACAACACGACCAATCAGCTGTCGTTACGTCACAAGGTAGAGGGCGCTGTCACGAAGACAATCATCAATGTCAGCAACAGGGAAGTCCACACAATCAACATGCAGGAAAGTGAGTACGTCCACTGCCGTCACGGGAGTGAGTGAGTTTAGTTTTACGCCGCACTAAGCAGTATTCCAGCTATTTGACTGTGTTGACTTAGGAAGTAGCAGGTGCTTAGTGCCCTTTGTGAGTGAGTCAGTTAGGTTTACGCCATACTCCAGCAATACCACAGCGGTTTGTATTGTTTTGCTTTGTTCCGATGTGTGTGTGTGTGTGTGTGTGTGTGTGTGTGTGTGTTGTTGTTGTTGTTGTTTTTTTTTCTAGCATAAAGCTAAGCACACCAAACCGAAACATGAGTCTCATTGACCTATTCTGACAATGACCTACTTTTCAGCCGATCCGAATTTACTCGTGTAAATTTGAAAAGAGACACCACAAACAACTATGGTTACACTGAATTCCAATTCCTTGTTTCATAAGAAAATGGTATTTACAAATTAATTTAAATTTAAACTTTAATAACTTCGTTTTTCTATATTTTATGGCGAGGTTTAGGCAGCATGACCTTATCTAAGACGCCACAGACTGCCCCTGTTTGATGAGGTCGTAAAATGATTCACAATTCATCTGTCTTACTGGTTACACCAGTTATTTCTAGTTCTTAGCTCTTATTCAGTGTAGTTTTGTAACGCACAATGTGATTGATAAAATATCAAGTCCGTACCAGACCGACAAATTTATCTAGCGGCAGAGCCTCGTTTTGTGATTTCCACGATTTCCAGATTACCGTTTGTCAGAGCACGCTGTACGACAGAGCACGCTGCACGACGTTTTTACAAGCATTAGAAGTTGCGTAGTGTTGCAATATACAAGTGCTTAGATGTAGCAAATAAACCTGATTAATATTTATGTATCCTGTTGAATGAATTGGTCTCAAAATTCTGGACTGGTTATTCTACAAGGGTGCGCAATAGAACGGAACCCAGTCAGCAGGAAACGAGACTGTTGTGTATTCAATGTTTTGACTTGTAAGGTAATATATTATTATCATAAGATATTGGTACAGCGATCCGGGCAACTAGTGCATGCTAGGGCTCCGCAATATAACCGGTTTACCGGTATTTACCGGTTCAGACATGAAAACGATACGTATTGCAATACGCTGATCGAAAACCGGTATCTTGACATGCATTCGGAAAACTTCGTAACACTCGGAAATCTTCGGATATTGCCTTGTTTCATTCATGCCAAATATTATTTACATTTTTATTTTGTCAGGATTAAAAGTTTTTATTAAAGCTTAATCATAAATGATGATTTTGTTTTGTTTTTGTTGAAAAAACTTCTTGCAATATATTGCAATACATATCGCAATATATGCATTCGCATCGCAATATATCGCAATAATAAAATTATAGTACATGCTCGAGGCGACGGTATGTTATTACCTCGGTCATTGGATATCAATTTCAACGGGACATCGTATTATCAGTCTCAAATCTTGCAGCCACTAGACCAAATTTTTGCTGCTTTCCCATCCTTACGAGGTAGCCATTCACAGCTGGATGGACTGGGCCAGTATCAATAATCAACTCTTACCGATATTTAACGTTGTAGTTGCGTTTTCGACTAGGAATACCAGTCACAAATGTTAGTGTGAGAATTGTTAAAAAGGAAAAAAACGAGTAGATAATATCCCCCGATCAGTCAGTGAAGTGTCCATAATATTTCTGTCGAGAGAGTCCATTGATTGCTAACAGCTTTCGGCAGCGTGGCCTCTGATAAAACTTTTGTTTCTTGCCTTTAGTCCTGCCCTATCTTTAGTTTCTAGCCTTTAGTGCTATCCTATCTTTAGTTTCTAGCCTTTAGTGCCTGCCCCATTCTTTAGTCCTATCTCTTTAGTTTCTAGCCTTTAGTCCTATCCTATCTTTAGTTTCTAGCCTTTAGTCCTATCCTACCTTAAGTTTCTAGCCTTTAGTCCTATCCTATCTTTAGTTTCTAGCCTTTATTGCTATCCTACCTTTAGTTTCTAGCCTTTAGTCCTATCCTATCTTTAGTTTCTAGCCTTTAGTGCTATCCTATCTTTAGTTTCTAGCCTTTAGTGCTTTTAGTGCTATCCTATCTTTAGTTTCTAGCCTTTAGTGCTATCCTATCTTTAGTTTCTAGCCTTTAGTCCTATCCTATCTTTAGTTTCTAGCCTTTAGTGCTATCCTATCTTTAGTTTCTAGCCGTTAGTCCTATCCTATCTTTAGTTTCTAGCCTTTAGTCCTATCCTACCTTTAGTTTCTAGCCTTTAGTCCTATCCTATCTTTAGTTTCTAGCCTTTAGTCCTATCCTACCTTTAGTTTCTAGCCTTTAGTCCTATCCTATCTTTAGTTTCTAGCCTTTAGTCCTATCCTACCTTTAGTTTCTAGCCTTTAGTCCTATCCTACCTTTAGTTTCTAGCCTTTAGTCCTATCCTATCTTTAGTTTCCAGCCTTTAGTCCTGTCCTACCTTTAGTTTCTAGCCTTTAGTCCTATCCTATCTTTAGTTTCTAGCCTTTAGTCCTATCCTACCTTTAGTTTCTAGCCTTTAGTCCTGCCCTATCTTTAGTTTCTAGCCTTTAGTCCTATCCTACCTTTAGTTTCTAGCCTTTAGTCCTGTCCTATCTTTAGGTTCTAGCCTTTAGTCCTGTCCTACCTTTAGTTTCTAGCCTTTAGTCCTATCCTATCTTTAGTTTCTAGCCTTTAGTCCTATCCTACCTTTAGTTTCTAGCCTTTAGTCCTATCCTATCTTTAGTTTCTAGCCTTTAGTCCTATCCTATTCCATTCCAATGTAGGAAACTTTGTTGGAAACAAGCCTCTGTTCACAATAACCCAGCATCAGATACGATAGTGTAGACTTTACACTGAATCATTTCCATCCGTGAAGACCCGGATGTCTTCAGCAATCCATGCTCGTCGAAAGAGACGACTGTCGGGATCGGGGTCAGCCTCGCATATTTCCTTGATGCCTGTCGATTGCACTGATTTATGTTAACAATTCTTATTATTATAATTTATAATGGTTCATACTTGCTTATTTACTGAACGACATCCTGTCGCTGGAAAAGTGCTGAGCGTGGCGTTTAACCACAAACTGGATAATAGTGTAGTGATGTTGACGGGATACAACGTATCTTAAATCTGCGCATTTCGTTCAACACTCCAGGAACCTGTAATGTATCTGGACTTGGTGCGGGACACTTGTCGGATCTAATCGGCTACACGGCGGACGCTCTGGGGAAAGGGAAGATATCCTCCCTCGCGGGCATATTCGTGTACGACAAAAGCCACAACTACTCCTACATGGGCAGTGACATCATCAGGGGCATCCCGGTCAGGAAGTGGTCTGTCACCCACGTCATTATCGGCGGCGACAACAACAAGAACATCATCGTCATGTGGTATTTCTCAGGTGGGTGGAGCGTGTTTCTTACTTAGCTACAGTCTTAGTGGGGTTTGGAGCCAATCAGTTTTCGTTCATGGTAACCACGATGATTTCTAATGACACCACAAATATCTTGGAGGGGAGCGTATCGTTGGGTGATGGAGGGAAGGGGGCGTATCAATAGGTGTAAGAGGGTAGGGAGCGTATCATTGGGTGTAGGGGGCGTATCGTTGGGTGTAGGAGGGTAGGGAGCGTATCATTGGGTGTAGGAGGGAAGGGGGCGTATCATTGGGTGTAGGAGCAAAGGGACGTATCATTTGGGTGTAGGAGGGAAAGGGCGTGTCATTGGGTGTAAGAGGGAAAGGGGCGTATCCTTGGGTGTAAGAGCGAAGAGGCGTATCATCAGCGTTCGAAATACCTGCCTGCCCGACTGCCCGGGACAGGTTACTTTCAACACGGACTGCCAGATGCTCAAATTCACCTGCCCAACGGCTGGGTTAAAATTTTAACATGTATATGAAGATATTCATCATATTTCAGGATAATAAATCATTATTAATACACTCGTAAAAATAAATGATGAAATGGATGATGAACTACGTCTCTTGTCAAACCTAAATTATTTGCGGGCAGATAAGTTTTGGCCAGGGCTGGCATATTGTACATGTAGCCAGCCCTGTAGTCTGCCAGAATTTTGGGGGAGTTTCATACAGTGGTATCATTGGGTATAAAAGGGAAGGCAGCCTATCATTTGGATGTAGGAGGGAAGGGGCGTATCATTCATTGGGCGTAATAGGAAAGACGCGTATCATTTGGTGCAGGAGGGACATGCCGTTGGGGGTGGGGTGGGGTGGGGAGGTGTCTTCAGGCTGTCCGTTTTTCATTTTGTGTTCCCATCTCCCGCTCAACCTAGATTTTCATTCCTGCGAGAAATAAACACGACGTTTTCCCATTCTAGCGGTTCAGCTGTTAATGACAAAACTAAAATTCCCAATCAATGATTATTTCATATTTTTTTCAAACTGAGAACATCTTTTCTTGTCCCTCAGACGCTAACGCCTGGGACACCGCCCTGAACTGGCCCTACACCCCCGTCCGGGCCACCGTTGTTGGGGAGGACATCAGCGTGACGGACCCTCTGTACTACGAGAATGTCTACAACTTCTTCCACTTCAAGAACTTCATACAGTTCGAGGACGCATTTCAGGTAAAGGGCGGCGGGGTAGCCCCGTGGTTAAAGCGTTGATTCGTCACGCCGAAGACCCGGGTTCGAATCCCCACATGGGTACAATGTGTGAAGCCCGTTTCTGGTGTCCCCCGCTGTGATGTTGCTTGAATATTGCTAAAAGCGGCGTAAAACCAAACTCAGTCAGTCATCTCAGGTAAGCGAGTGAGTTTTGAGTTATACGCCGCTTTTAGCAATATTCCAGAAATATCACGGTGGGGAACACTAGAAATGGGCTTCACACAATGTACCCATGAGCGGAATCGAACTCGGGTCATCGGCGCGACGAGCGTACGGTTTAACCACTAGGCTACCCCACCGACCCTTTAGAAAACGGACTGGGGTGTATAATGTTGGGGGGGGTGGGGGGTGGGTGGTCAGCATGAAGGAGGGAGTCTAATGAAGTACATCTAAGTCTCGTGAAAATATTTAAGTCATCTTTTTTGTCGGTTTCAACGAAAGGTATGTCTGAAAGTTTTTACGTCTGTCACAGACACCTGATATGATCACCTGCCCCGGTAGAACGCCAAAGAAATCGTTCCCAGCTTTAGCACCTGCAGCATCATTTACAGCAGAAACATGGGGCAACGTTCATCGACACATCACCTACTACAAGGTGAGTCTACAAACTAGGTTTCAGTAAATAAAGTCATAGCCGAGAATGCTAAATGAAACGTCACTTTAAAGCTGAGCTAGCAAGGCAGGCAGTGTTCATACCTTGTGAAATGTGTGTAGGACATATCACACGCAGGAGGATCGACAAGGCAGGAGGTTCAAGTAATTGGTTTCTCAGCAGCGAAAGCTATTTTCCCAAACAATAAGCTACCCCCAGTGTCGGACAATTGTTTCTGTCTGCTTGGCAGTGTAGACTCGCTTGTATTTCGATTTCCTATCCCTGTCTACCCGTGAAACTCCGGGTTAGAATATTGATCTTCAGTGACCCATGCTTGTCGTAAGAGGCGACTAACGGGATCGGGTGGCACTGGATTGTCTGGTCCAGACTCGATTATTTACAGACCGCCGCCATATCGCTGGAATACTGCTGAGTGCGGCGTAAAATTAAACTCACTCACTCACTCCTATTGCTGTGTCTAATTTGATGTGCGTTTATGCTAAAAAGTATTTAAATCTTTTTGATTAATCTTTCATACTAATTAACTTCAATACATAGTCGCGTTTGGTGCGCTCTGTGTAAATCAGCTCCGTCTTGACAACACAACGTCTAGACATACATGTTTCCTGAACCTGTTTTACACCTAAAGGCGGCCATTGAGTTACTCAAGAGACCGTTTCCAAATTGAGGAACAGTATAACGTGCGTGCGTGTGAGCGTGCACTATGTCAGTGATGACGACAAGGTGTTCACTTCAACATGCCATTCATACTATTTGCCCAATTTGAATCTTAACTTTGATAAAATCGGGACATTGTTTAATAATAACACTTTATACATGTCATAAATTCAGCATAGAATCCAGTCTGTGTTTCATGTATTATGGTACAGTACTTTAAAAAAATATCTCTAGTGTACTAGTCCCGTTATGTCTGCCTTTAATCAAGATTACTGGATGGTTGTTTTTCCCCATCAAATTAAATAAATAAAGCGTGAAAGGATGTAAGAGGTGTAAAACTTGACAGAGTTACAGTGTCTATTTGCAATATCAGCCTCAGGTATACGGATTTTCTCAAGCATTGTGAACCTTTAATACAAATCATTTATAATGAAGCATGTTCGAATCCGTATCACCACATGAGTTTAGCTATTTCAACCGCAAAAGGCATGTTCACTCTAAAAAAGTAGGGGAACCCGAACTTTCAACTTGTATTGGAAGTAAAAGCGTTAACACACTTTTAAGACAGACATCACATAAACACACCACCATTTCTCTTTATCACTGCCCCTAAACAGAATGCATGGGATGCACGTGCACAACACAGTAGCCCTATGCACGTTCATGGGGTGTCATTCTTGATTTTGTCGGTTTTCAAGAAGGTCGATAAATCACTGTAGACCATTAATTTTGACAATCGTCTTGCATCACACACCTGTTAGTGTTTGTTTCTGGCCGGTGTCTTTTCGTTTGGAAATGAAAATCGTACACATGCAAATTTCACGTCATGTACCAGTCATCTTTCAGGGGTGATTACTGTACAAACAACTATGTCATAAGGAAGTGCAAGTGGAGATGCTCTCACAAAACATTCATTATTATCATAACATTGATTGACTCCCATTTTGTTCAGTTCCCCCACTTTTTTAAGAGTATATTTCCCTTGCATGTATGTCTAATGTTGCTATGACGCTGGTAATATACAATGTTATTTTTTTTAAAATAGAGTGTGTATTAATCACGAACTCGTTTGATTGCAGGAGAGTTATGACACGAAGCTTCAGGTAACGAAATTTTCCTACACACCTGAACAAACCATGCACGGGGCCGATGATGGACCCCGTCTGACTGAAGTACATGATTTTAATACAGGTAGGTCGGCGAAGTTCGCCTTGACTCTACAACACGATCTTAGCTTCTTCAGGTAATCAATGCGTTTCCGCAGATGAGATGGAGATGATTTACCTTCACGAATTGATTTTAGCGCCACTGTAGGTGACTCTAGCCACACAAAAACGCATATACAAAAAAGCCCCGTGAAGATCCAGATTAGAATTTGTCTTCAGCAACCAATGCTTGTAAGAGGCGACTGTTTCGAAAGCTACCATGAAGACTGACTGACTGAGTTTGGTTTTACGTCGCTTTTAGCAATATTTCAGCAACATCACGGCGGGGGGACACCAGAAATGGGCTTCACACGTTGTACCCATGTGGGGATTCGAACCCGGGTCTTCGGCGTGACGAGCCAACACTTTAACCACTAGACTACCCCACCGCCCCCTACCGTGAAGACCATGAAGTGGAGAAATGGATTTGACGGGCATCCGCCTTGCCTCTTCTTCCGTTGGCCCACATCCAAGATGTTTGGATGGTTGCTATGGAAACCCGTCCTGATGTGCCAGTAGCTGTTCCATTCAACGACTACATAGTGACGATCGTGAGGGACGATGACTCCCTATTTCCATCGCCCATGTGGAATCATCAGTTCGGCTCAAAACCTAACAGGTGCCTTGAAGGGTTCAACAGCCAACTGAATGCCAGCCTATCATGTCGACACACTAACGTGTTTGGCCTGATCCATATTTTGAAGAAAATCGAGGTGGCAGACCGTCTGGAGATTGTCCAGTTGGACATCTCCAGCACGGCAGAGAGTGTGTAGAGAAATAAACAGCCGACTGGGGAGGTTGCAGGAACAGCTAGAGGGAGAGATGAAGACTCCCATCCCATACCTGGATGCTGTGGAGAGGCTAGTGAAGCTGTATTAAACTGACAATATCAATGCATATAACGTGTTGATTTCTAGTGCTGCTATATTATTTCTGCTGATATAATATTTCATAAAGTAATAACTAAAATATATCTGACTTTCAGTGCTTTATTTAGTTTTAGTGCTTTATTGTTAAAACATGTGTGCCTTATTTGCAAATATGTAAAAACAAAAAATGTATCTATGCAACACTAAACATTTCACCTTATTCTTTCAAAGTGTCTGACTACAGGACTATCAGTTGGGCTAGTCCATTATCATAATGGGTAACAACCTTTGCTTTTGTGTCCACTCAACAAAATCATTTTATGTATTGTACTGTCTGACATCTGGGGTGTTTGACTAAAGGGAGGACATCTGTGTGATCACAAATGGCTTCAATACACGCCAAAACACGTCGGACGCATTGATGACGTAAGATGACGTTAGGCGCGATCCGTTGCCATTCCTGCTGGAGACATTGTTCTAGTTGCTTAGCGGTGACAGGTGGCGCTGGTAGTCTTCCCATAAGTGTTATTTTTATGTCGGGAGAACATGCTGGCCACGGCAAGACAACGATGTTAGCGTTATGCCAAAAGTCGATTATCAGTCTGGGTGTATGAGTTCTTCCAATGCGTCAAACTCGCCTGGCCCTGACGTCCATGAATAATCCACAGGTTCTAAAAATCAAATGCACTCTGCGGACTTGGATCGACCTGCTCGAATACCCTGTTCTCTTCGTCAGTGAACATCACCGCCGTCTATATCTGCCAACGTATGCCGACTGAAAATGATGCGCGGTTGGATCGACGTAGTGCTCTTAGTCGCCGTTATAATGCGACTGATACGGTGTCCTAATGCCCGTTGACGTCGCCTTTACAAAATGATGTCCGGATGTGGCGATCATCACCGGGCGTTGTAACACGTGGTCGACCACTCCTAGACCTGTCTGACGTATTGCCTGATTGTCTTTGTCGTTGCATCAGTCTGATGACAGTTGCTCAGGTGCAGCCGAACGTCCTGGCAGTGACGGAGTAGATAGTTCCTTGTTAAGCCATTGCGACATCTCTCTCTCTTTTGATTTGCAGCAAACGTGGCATATTTGTTGTGTTCTTTTACTACTGTGTTGTTCACGTGTCCGGTGAGCTGTTTTATACCGTCAGTATGCACGTGCATTTCGTGTTAAATCAGATCTTTGCGACGTTTAGGCGATTCGTTAACTTGTTGCACCGTTAGTCCCCCGAAAGGATGACTCTACATGTGTGACATGGCTAAATTTTGTGAATTTTATGTGATATTTTGCGGTATCGTTTCTTTTGAGCACTAGTTTAGATATGTGAGAGAAATAATTATGTACTGTTTTAATCAACTTCATAAAGACTGCATGTTATGTTTTGTTCAGGAGTTGCTTACGTCATGAACCCAGAAACCGGGAACTGCACTTGTCAGCTCATAGAAAAAAACGATTTGGATGACTTCAGCAAAAATCACAACTATATTCGAATGAAGACAGCATCAGAGATTTTCTCTACAGATACCAAAGACTATTCATACGAAGGACAGGTAGTTTTATTACGGATGAAACATCACCTTCTGAGAGAGCTGAATTCCTGGCTTTCGCTGAAACATATAATACATATAATTACCCCTACTTTTAAAATGATAAAGTGATTGTTTGTTGTAAAGAGGGACGGCGATGTGTGTGCCTGTTAATGTGTGGCTGTGTGTGGCTGTAAAGTATGTTTGTTTGAGAGGTGGAAGCGGCCAAGTGTTTGTGTCTTTCGTTGTGTTGCAACAGTTTTGGGAGAATTAATTAATTTAGACTGTGGATGGGATTAACGAGACACGGTTTGGTGTTATCCATTAACAGTGGTTAAGCGGGACCTGTTTATCAGAAGGTGAAGTGAGGTGAAATTGGGTTTTACGTCGTGCTTTCGAATATTTCGCTGATATGACGACGTGCATGCGTGTGTATGTGTATGTGCGACTGCTTGTACTAGCCCAGACTGAAGCTGGTTTTATAGTGCTAGCCCACTGAGATACCATGCCGCAGTGAAGCATGAATATCCCAATCAGACACATTATACTGACTCCGAGCCGACCAGTCCTTGTTGTACCCATTGATGCCGAGCGCCAGACAGGGACCAACAAGTACCATACTTTAACCTCTTTTGGTATGACGCGGTCGGGGATGGAACCCGCTACCTTCCGCTCTCCGGGCGGACGCTCTAACCACTACACCACGGAGGCGGTCCTGTGAGTGAGTGAGTGAGTCTGTTTTATCAGATATCGTTACGTAGTAGCGGCTGTGTTAGTAGCAGCAGCAGAAGTAGTAGCAAAAGCTACTTCTGTTGTAGTAGATGTTGCTTTAGTCAGAAGCAGTAGTACTAGTGGTAGCAGTAGCAGCAGCAGTAATAACGCTAGTGGTTGTAGCAAGGGTCGGGGCAGCAGCAGTGTTAGTAGTGGTAACTGTATTATGTATTGTGGCAGTAGGAGTAGCATTAGTAACAGCAACAACAGGAAGACAGCCGTAGCAGCCGTAGTGGTAGTAGCAACAACAGGAGCAGCAGTAACAATTGCAACAACAATAGGAGTACTAGTAGCAGCAGCAGTAGCATCAACAGCAGCACCAGTAGTGATAGTAGTAGTAGTCGTAGTAGTAAAAGCAGCAGTAGTAGTTGCAGCAGTAGTGGCAGTAACAACAACAGCAGCAACAGTTACATTTGAAACAACAGCAGGGCAGTAGTAGTACAGTTAGTAGAAACAACAGTAGGAATAGTAGTAGTCGTAGCAGCAGTAGTAGTAGTAGCAGCAGCAGGTTGTAGTAGCAGCAGCAGTGGCAGCAGTAGCGGCAGTGGTGGTAACAGCAAAGCACCAGTAGTAGTAGTGGTAGTAGTAGTAGTAGTAGTAGTAATAGTAGTAGTTGTTGTAGTAGTAGTGGCAGTAAGTTTTCTGGGTTACATGGGCAACAGGTGCAGGACTGAATTGAAGACGCACGCGTGTACCAACTGCACAGACTACAATCTGTTACTGCATCCCATTACCTGATGTTGACAGGTGATGACGCGAGACATCCCCACAGACAGGTTTGTGGCCATCCGGATGGGCACGTCAGTAGAGTCTCCACAGAAGTCCACGTATGAGTGGCGGTTCGCCACGGTGAGTAAACTAGCGTTTCAGTGACTGAAAAAACTACAACTATCCCCTTTTTCCTGAGTGAACTCATGATCCCTTACTTCTAAACAGGGACGTAGGTGTACCGTGGATGGTCTCCGCACCATCATCTTTCCACCCCAACGCGCCGCAAACGAAACTCGTGGTCAATGCGAAATTCTTTATCATTACTAACCTATGGATGAATGAATGAACCAACCAACCAACCAACCAACCAACCAACCATCCATCCATCCATCCATCCATCCATCCATCCATCCATCCATCCATCCATCCATCCATCCATCAAACCAATCAATCCATCCACCCACCCACAAGCCCAACCAACCAAACCACCCACCCATCCACCAACCATCCACCCATCCATCCATCCATCTATCCATCCATCCATCTATCCACCCACCCTAATCAGCCAATGAATCAACCATCCATCGATCGACCAACCCACACACCGTTCAAACAAACAACCGACCAACATCCATCCGTCCATCCATCCAACCAACCATCCATCGTTCTTCCCATCCATCCACCCACGTTTCCAACAACCAACCAATCGACCGACCATCCATCCATCCACCCACACACCCACCAAACCACCATCCATCAAAACAACCAACCAGCTTAGCAATCAACTATCCATCCATCAACCAACCCACCATCCATCCATCCGAACAGCCAATCACCCACCCACCAACCGAGCAGCTAACCATCCAATCAACAATCCATCCATCCACCCACAAATCCCATCCCATCCAGCCCAACCCATCCCTCCTCCCATCCATCCACTCACCCACCTTCCAACAACCAACCAACCAATAAACCATCAATCCATCCATCTACCCATCCAACCACCCTCCCACCCACCCAACCAACCATCCATCCAACCATTCAAACAAGCAAACAAGCAAACATCCATTCATCCACTCACTCAACCAACCATTCATCCAACCAACCAACAAACCAACCAATCAATCAATCAAATACTAAAACGCTTTATCGCAAATGTGTTTTTGTGTTCATCAAATGAACACTTCTTGTGCTACCTCCAGAGGTCTGACGAACGCAGTGTGTTTCAGACTCAATATGCCCGAGTTCAGCAGAGTCAAGGGACCTTCAGTGGTGGAGTTCCGGTCCAGATAAAGCAGAGAGCGCTCGCAGTGAGTTGTAGTCCTTCAGTTCCCGTAGAGTCCCTGGTGCTTCAGTGAGTTGTAGTCCTTGAGTTCCCATACAGTCCCTGGTGCTTCAGTGAGTTGTAGTCCTTGAGTTCCCCTATAGTCCCTGGTGCTTCAGTGAGTTGTAGTCCTTCAGTTCCCCTGGTGTTTCAGTGAGTTGTAGTCCTTCAGTTCCCGTACAGTCCCTGGTGCTTCAGTGAGTTGTAGTCCTTGAGTTCCCGTACAGTCCCTGGTGCTTCATGAGTTGTAGTCCTTGAGTTCCCCTACAGTCCCTGGTGCTTCAGTGAATTGTAGACCTTCAGTTCCCGTACAGTCCCTGGTGCTTCAGTGAGTTGTAGTCCTTCAGTTCCCCTACAGTCCCTGGTGCTTCAGTGAGTTGTAGTCCTTCAGTTCCCCTACAGTCCCTGGTGCTTCAGTCCCTGGTGCTTCAGTGAGTTTGTAGTCCTTGCAGTTCCCTTATACAGTCCCTGGTGCTTCAGTGAGTTGTAGTCCTTCAGTTCCCCTATAGTCCCTGGTGCTTCAGTGAGTTGTAGTCCTTCAGTTCCCCTGGTGTTTCAGTGAGTTGTAGTCCTTCAGTTCCCCTACAGTCCCTGGTGCTTCATAGAGTTGTAGTCCTTCAACTCCCTGGTGTTCCCTGGTGGGTCAGTGAGTGGACTACCGTCGCATATGTTTAACAGGCATATGGTCTGTATTTGGTGTCTTACTGGGGACGATGGAGGAGGGGTGAAGGGTGTTGACTGCAGTTGTCATACAGCCTTGAGCACTGTCCAGGGGACACAACTCTGCACAGTCTATTGCTGTAGCTCCATGACTCCATGGCGCATATAGCTAATAATACACGTTTACATTGCTTCACGCAGTATGTAATAGGAGTGAATGAGTGAGTTGAGTTTTACGCCGCTTTTGCAATATTCCAGCAAATCACGGCGGGGAACATCAAAAATGGGCTTCACACAATTTGCCCATGTGGGGAATGGAACCCGGGTCTTCGGTGTGACGAGCGAACTCTCTATAGAAAAGGTAATCACCATCATCCCGTATGTAACAGGAGATGATTCTAAACCCGTATCACAGTCTGTGCCCATATCACAATCTAAACCCGTACCACAGTCTGTGCCCATATCACATATCTGTACCCGTATCTGTATCAGCATCCACACCAGCCTCGCCATCTTTGTCTGCGTCAACAACATCTGATACTGAACTGGATTCACTGCCTGTATCTAAAGCCTTCTGCAATTCTTCTTCTGTGTCAAATAACTTCAGAACGTCTGTTGGTATGGAAACTTCTGTAGAAAGACCAACTGTCGCATATCTTGCCGGGAAGGCTAAAATGTATTTTTCAGATTTCCTGGGAAGGCTAAAATGTATATTTCGTATTTCCCGGGAGGGTTTCCTCCCATTACGCAGACAGCCAGTTTGCAGACACCTTAAAACAACAACATTTACGGTTCAGTGAACAGAGTATCTACTACCTGTTACCTACACGTTATAATGGAATAGTCCAAATAAAAACACAGGAACAAACTGAAGCTATATTATTTATTTTGAAAGATGGACGAAAAGACAGTAATTTGATTTTTTATTGCTGCAATATTAAAACAGTTTTTTTTTAATTAAACATTTCGGTTTAATCTTCTAGTCTAACGGGAGTCGGCATCATCATATTGAAAACATTAGCTTAGCTGTTAGAAATTGCGACACTGTTGTATCATATAAATTAAATAGACAAATGTAAACCTAAATATTATTCATATGAAATAAAGAAGTTATATGTTTTGCACACAATATTATGATACATGACAAGTGCACTTAATTACGATTTATTTAGAATAAATATTTGAAAAAAGACGCATCATGTGAATGTGGCCATGGATGTGAGAATGTTTTTCATTACTTCTTTGAATGGTCATTGCATACTTCTCAAAGACATAAACTGTTACAGTCTTTAGAAAGTATTGTTAAAATTAGAACACTGATTGGTATTAATCGTATCTTACATGGCAATGCAGGTGTATCATTTATCTCTCCAACAAAACGTTTTCTCAGTTAACTTCTGTTGTACATATGCTATTATTGGGAGGGGTCTTTTCTATCAATAAACACAATCAAACCTCTCAATGACAAAGCTGTTTTTATATTTGATAGTAATTGATAGTAAAATCAATTTGAGAAGACAAATCATTTATCATTTAATCACAATAATGTTCTATTTACCCACAATCAAACTTCTCAGTAACGAACCTGCTCACCCTGCCCTACTCACTACACAGTGGATTGTTCCATTATACCCGTAGGTGTTACCCTAATTAACCTTCTAGTTCAGTTTCTGTCAACTGGGTGTCTGTCAATTGGGAGATAACCCCCCGGGAGAGCTAATTTCCAAGGAAGTAGGGGAGTACCGCCAAAGCTAAGATACGGTGCCGGGAAGCATAATCCATGTCGGGAGTAGATAGATTTCTCTTCATAACATTGTTATAGTATTACCGTTATCTGTACACTGGTTAATAATATTTTTATAAATTGCACATTTTGATGAGTTGGACAGCTCAATAAAGATAAACTGAATAGCCTGATCATTTTTTCTTTGTTTCATAATCTAGAAGTAATCCTGCCTTAACCATATTTCACTTAATCCAGTGTTTGACAAAATAATTTTAACCTGATACGTCAAATTTTTGACACCAGGGGTCTCCACTTCCTCATACAAATACTCATAACAACCCCCGTCAAATGTTATTTTCAGACACAAGAAGCTTACACCAATATTTAATCATGCTATATTGCCTTTTAAATACGAGCGGATAACGGCCTAACTCGGCATTAACCATGGAATTACATGTTGATTTCTTAACTCCTAATAACCTCTTACAAACATCCAAATGCAACCTTTCAATATTTAAGCCTGTATATATCCTCATATCTCAGACTCATAAGATAGTATACTACCAACATAACAATCAAAGACAAATAAAAGAGATTGCAGGTTGAGAGAGAGCGACCTGATATTACTGTAAATTAAAAGAAGGCTCTTCCTACCCTGGTCAGACAACTGCAGCTCTGCCTTTGAGAATCGGTTATTATAATTAAAAACTATTCCGAAATATATAAACGTATCGCCAACCTCAGGACACAACCATTATATATAACCAATGTTCTGACGATTTAACTTTACCAACTCTTCTGAAGACCATTGTCTTTGTTTTAGCAATATTTACTGGAAGTTCCCACCGTCTGGAATAAGCTGACAGCGAATTCAACTGTGTTTGCAACCTTTCAACAGATTCAGAAAATATGACAAGATCACGAGCATACATAAGCAGAAACATATGTAAAGATTTAAACTCGTAAAGTACACATTTATCTTTAAGGAAAGACTCCTCAAAATGAACTATCTAATGTCGAATTAAAGAAAATGTGTAAGGAAGAACAGACGTAAAAATGTGTAAATAACTTTATTTATATTTTTACATGTGCCCAAATTAAAGAGCGTCCCCGTAAATCCTGTTTTCTTTGTAATTTGTCAAAGCCTCCGGGTGAGGTGCGCCGTGTTCATTCAGCCATAACATTGCATTGCAGACAGACAGACAGATATTTTATTTCAGTCTCACCTCACATAAAATACATAAATAAATATATTTATAAAATATAGCATATAAGTGAGCCACCCTTTAAGGGTTATGAGAGACTAATGTATTAATACATTATAAATACTAAATACTAAATAATTATATAGGTACATACAGTGTAAAATCTATCCATATAAAATATGTTTTCTTCTTTGCAAGATATAAAAGCAGGTTTTGGCACTGAAATATACATGGTGTTTAAAAAGTAAAACTAATTTATCATCATCACAAAGATCTAAGAAGTTGGGATAGCTAAAACAGACATTTTCATATAAACGTTCACGCAAATCATCATACATAGGGCAATACAACAGAACGTGTCTTTCATCCTCAACACTCTCACTGCACTGAAAACATACCCTCTCATTCACATTCACATTTGTATATCTGCCGGTTTCCAAATGCAGAGGAGCAGTACCTGATCTGAATTTGGAGAAGGCAGAGCGGTAAGAACAATAATATTGTAAAGGGGCATACTCATACTCACATAACTTTCACAGCCATACACATCCTTAAACATTCGATACGTTCGTAATTTATTACCTCCCGTTCTACCGAAACTTGGCGATCTGCTGATACTTATAGTGTGTAATAACTCATACCAATCATTCACATACTTCTGCATACAAATATCTCGCACCTTCTCGCATACCCGTTTAACATTAACATCAGCTTGTTTTTACGCAGACACCGACACGACAGAGTGTATTCAGTATAGATTAGTCTACATACATAAACACTACCTTTTTGATAATAAAGCATAAAATAGCGTGTTATCGAGTTTAATCACTGCCACGCTTTGTCGGGTAATCTTTGTTGCCACTGAAGGCCCCATTCAATACTTATTTCTCACACATCCACACGCACAACTCTCCGACCATATAAATACATACTTATTTATTCTAAAAGACAAGTACCGCGAAGGCAACGCTCATTGAACCGAGAAGCGTCTCGAGTTTAGCCTTCCCGGCGATGAACCGTTGCAGACATGCCAAACAAGGCTTCATGTGGCGATGTACCAATTCCTCGGTTCAGTAGAGAATTCTTTTGAAGCTGTACAACGTGTAGCCGTTTCTTGAAATGTGTGTACGTTTCTTGAAATGTGTATGATAATATTAGTATGGCGAATGGCGTATTGACTGAAGAGTTTATGACAGAATTTACCTGGAGAACGATAGGGACAATATTAAAATGTTGGGATTCATAATAATAATAAAGTAAATAATTAAAGTTAATATTTATATAGCGCCTGTTACAGCAAATTGATCAGAGTAGCTCAGGGAAAGTCAGTGTAAAGGAAACCTGTGTCTTTAGCATTCGCTTGAACTGGTCGAGTTCGCATATGGATGTTATTTGCGAGATTCAGGCCTGGCGAAACATCGTACGAACTAGGTTTCTCGCTCGCATGCTTGCTTGCAAGCATTGTTATTTTATCAGTAATATCCAGCCAGTGGTACATTCTCACCACCAATTCACTGAACCTTATCATGTCAATTACCTTTCCAACGTAGAAGTTGCTGTGGAGTTCTACTGTCCTACTCTGACTGAAACATTCTTGTGGTATCGGGGCGTTGGTGTAGCCTAGTGGTTAAAGCGTTCTCTCGTCACGCCAGAGACTCAAGTTCGATTCCCATTTATTGTGTTCCCTGCCGTATATTGATGAAAAGCGGCGTAAAGTAAACTCACTCAGTCACTCTTGTGGTTTCAGTCCAACACCACCTACACGTACAACATCTACAACTACATCCAGGCCAGGCCCAACCTCCTCGACTGGGACATCAGCTCCTGCTACAGTGGTCAAAAAGAAGAGGGTTCTACAGTTTGCTGTACCTGGTGAGCTATTGACCATAGCAGACTTCAGCCATCCTCGATATCTCCAGGGTATACGTTACGATCACTCTCCACTATACCCTGGATGCATCCACGCCTTGGCCCGATAATTATATTACCTCCCTTTGCTGACTCCTCATTCTCACAGTAGCCAATCAGCTAAGCCGCCGTTACATCAGAGCTTGCCAGTGTCAACAGCTTGACAGTGGTCGCAGTCGCGAAGGTTTGTTCGCAGTACCACTCAGATTTGAGAAATAATATAAACAAATTGACAGATCTGAAACTTTAAAAACATGTAAAAGAACTCCTTCCACATCTTCAGAGTGCCCTCTGCATCTATTGTGTTGCCAAGTTTAAACGGTTAGATAATTTAAGAAGTGAAAGTGAGTTGTGACTGGTTCGCTCAACTTCACAGCGTAGACACCTGATTGGATAAAAAACCAGGCAAGGGAGGTAATAAAATCAACATAAAAAGCCGTGGATGCATCCAGGGTATAGTGCAGAGTGATCGTAACGTATACCCTGGAGATATCGAGGATGGACTTCAACGGGAGATATGGCTATGATAAGATCAGAACGTCGCGTCAGTGAAATTGACTTGAAGGCGTTTGTGACGTCACTGATTACCATTACGTGGCCGTCAATCGGATGATATAATTGCACCGCAATGTTTGCAGTCCATTGTGACGTCACTGACCATTGGGTCAGGTTCGCTGACATGTCGGGGCATATCTCATATGTGTAGATCGATGCTCATGATGTCAGTCGCTGGAGTATGTGGTCCACGTTACTTACAAACAGGAATAGCATATCTGGAAAATTAAACATTGCGAGGTAAAACAAAACAAACGCCAACAAACATGAAGGGATTCATTCGCTATCATAGTCTCGTTTTAAAGACGTGACGTACACGTGAAGATCTTGATTATAATTTGTCTTCAGTAACCCATGCTTGTCGTAAGAGTGAGTGAGTGAGTGAGTTTGGTTTTACGCCGCTTTTAGCAATATTCCAGCAATATCACGGCGGGGAACACTAGAAATGGGCTTAACACATTGTACCCATGTGGGGAATCGAACCCGGGTCTTCGGCGTGATGAGCGAACGCCTTAACCACTAGGCTACCCCACCGCCCCGCTTGTCGTAAGAGGCGACTAATGGTATCGGGTAGTCAGGCACGCTGACTTGGTTTACACACGTCATCGTGTCCCAAATGCATAGAACGATGCTGCTGCTGTTGATCACTGGATTGTCTGGTCCAGATTCGATTATCTACAGACCTTAGTCACACAGCTGGGATGCTGCTGACTACAACAAGCAATACGGAACATTAGCACATTCATTGTGGCCACATCTTGTTACGGGAACTAACACCACGCGGTTGTAACACGAGACCGTATGATAGCTGAAATACATTTACAGTGTTGATAAATACAACGGAATACTGACTCTCCACAGGTTCCTACAGATCTCAGATATCTTCCAACAGAGAGACGTTCAAACATGATACACTCTCAGTCTTAGCTTCCTCCCTCCAAATATCACCACTCCGGATAAATGACATTAACCTTAAGGTAAGTGTTCTTGGTAATTTCCTTTGTTCCCTTTATAAGATGTAATCTTAGTACGTCTTCCTTATAGTTTTCACAAAAAGCTTAAAGGTCACATGCAACCAAAAAATCAAACATAACTAAAACACAATTATCACTTATTCATGACATATAATATACATTGCTGGTTATGAAAAAACATATAAACAAAATTATAAGCGTACAATTGCAAATCAAAAGTGCAATATTGTGTACTTGGGTTTACTTCCCAAGAAACGAAGCAGCCGGGATACCGAACCCAGTGAAAGCGGGTGGGTGTGCACTCAAGTGTAACGGCTGGTTCATTTGCAGATGCCCTCACTGCTCATTGTGTGTGTATATATATAGATATTGGGTTTTGTAAATACATGCTCATTTTTTGTGTATAACATTTTGCAATCAACAGACATCATAACATGTCATGTGATCAAGTATCACACCTGCCTGTCTGTGTAATTACATAATGTGACAGACCGAACTCGGGCCATAAATCAGTGCAGTTTGTTTATGGTGTATAGCCTGATTGGTGTTAAGTTCAAATTGCATGTGGTCAGTGATAGCAGCTGTGTATTGAATATTGTCATTAGCAGACAGGCAGGCAGACACACAGGTGTCAATAAAACAAGACATTGAGTTTTGTCTGTGACAACGACATATCTGTATCACAGTTAGAAATGCTGTCAACGCTAAATAATGACATCGCTTTTAAGTATCGAAATGAGAAAGTGACTCGGTAAGAAGAACGTGTGGTGAAATAGACAAATGAAATTATATAAACAGTTAATCTACTGTCATAACATATAAAAAGCTCGCGCCTGTGAGATATCAACAAAACATTAGAAAAATAGCTCACACCAAAGCCTTCACCGAGTATTCACCGGACAACCCGCTTCCAAGCTCCGCTAACCTATTTCAGTGCGCACGTGCTATGAGCGCAGCCCAGCTGTTGAAACCCGTTTTCCCCGGAAAAGACGGGGGAAAATTAGTGAATCGTTTGAACTCCGATTTCGCGCGTTTTTTTTCATCGCGTTATTTTTCAACTTTATAAGCTGAGTTTGCATTTTTGACGATTTGTTTCGGTAAGTCCGTACTGAAAGGTATCAGAATCTGCAAAATGCGTTTTACGTTGCATGTGACCTTTAAGTTTCCTTTTTTAAACTGTCCATATCAAGGACATTCACAACCAGGTAAGTATTGTTCCTTGTTTCACCTCTCCATATTAATTACATTCACATACAGGTAAGTATTGTTCCTTGTTTCACCTCTCCATATTAAATACATTCACATACAGGTAAGTATTGTTCCTTGATTCACCTCTCCATATTAATTACATTCAAATACAGGTAAGTATTGATCCTTGATTCACCTCTCCGTGCTAATTACATTCACATTCAGCTAAGTATTGATCCTTGATTCACCTCTCCGTGTTAATTACATTCACAACCAGGTAAGTATTGTTCCTTGATTCACCTCTCCATATTAATTACATTCACATACAGGTAAGTATTGTTCCTTGATTCACCTCTCCATATTAATTACATTCACATTCAGGTAAGTATTGATCCTTGATTCACCTCTCCATGTTAATAACATTCACATACAGGTAAGTATTGTTCCTTGATTCACCTATCCATATTAATTACATTCACATTCAGCTAAGTATTGATCCTTGATTCACCTCTCCGTGTAAATTACATTCACATACAGGTAAGTATTGTTCATTGATTCACCTCTCCATATTAATTACATTCACATTCAGCTAAGTATTGATCCTTGATTCACCTCTCCGTGTTAATTACATTCACAACCAGGTAAGTATTGTTCCTTGATTCACCTCTCCATATTAATTACATTCACATACAGGTAAGTATTGTTTCTTGATTCACCTCTCCATATTAATTACATTCACATACAGGTAAGTATTGTTTCTTGATTCACCTCTCCATATTAATGACATTCACATTCAGCTAAGTATTGATCCTTGATTCACCTCTCCGTGTAAATTACATTCACATACAGGTAAGTATTGTTCCTTGATTCACCTCTCCATATTAATCACATTCACATATTACAGGCAAGTGTTTTTGCTTGTTTCACCTCTCCATATTACTGACTTTCACATTCAGGGAAGTTTGCATGTTTAAGGCCTGTTTAAAATCACTGACTACAAGTCTTGCTATATTATTTTTCCTCATGTGTTTCAAATGTCCTCCAAAAATATATTTCCATTCTAAAATTGAGCACATGTGGATCGGCCATGAGATCTTCACTCTTCCTGTTTAATTCAAGCTGTTTTACTTGAATGTTCAGTTGGATGTCACCAACAACGTGAGTGTGACGTTCACCTTGCTGGACACTGCTCCCGTCAGGGGTGACGTGAAAGTCAACATCACAGAGACGTCGCTGGACAGTGCTGTAGCAACACTTGCAAACCTGGTCAAGGATCATGCTTTCCTGATACCAGCAGTATTTGGCAGTCAGTTTGAGGTATGTAGCCCAGTAAAGGCTCTGAGCCCAGTCGTGTTCTCCTCTCTGTCCCGTGAAAAAGAAAGGTAATTCCATTGCCCAGGCTGTAGGTTCCAAAACCCTGTGCGATAAGAAACTCATGCTTGTCGAAAGAGTCGACTAACAGAATCGCTGACTTGGTTGACACATGTCATCGTATCCCAACAGCGTAAATCGATGCTCATGAAGTTGATCACTGGATTGTCTGGTACATACTTGATTATTTACAGACCGCCGCCATACAGCTGGAATATGACTGAGTGCAAACAAACTCAAACAAAACTCTAAGACCTGGCATGTAAAGTGAATAGAGATATTATCTCGAGAGGTTTACGTAAATGCTAACTGTTGTTGTTGTCTTTTTGTTGTTGTTGGGTTTTTGTTTGTTTTGTTTGGTGGGTTTTTTTTCATTATTTTAATTTTTTTTTTTATTTATTTATTTATTTATTTTTTTATTTATTTTTAAAATTTGTTTGGGTGTGTGATACGTTGTCTTCTTACGAACAGCTGAGTGAGTGAGTGAGTGAGTGAGTATGGTTTAGCAACATTCCAGCAATATCAAGGCGGGGGACACCAGAAGAAGATGCTGAAAAGAACCAGACAATCCCTGATAAAATGACTATCGTCCTGTTGCAAGAAGGGACCAAGGAATTGATACGTTCGCTGCCATGGCATCGTATCCCAGTTGCGTAGTTAGGTGCTCATGCTGCGAATGATTGGAGTGCCTGGCTTAGATACGATTTGTAATCGAACGCCGTCATGGACCTGAAATATTGTTGAGTCCGGTGTGAAGCAACAAACAAGCACAACCTGAATCTAGACATTAGTTTCACATTTTTTGTATTTGTCAAACATATATGATTACCTTCTGCAGGCTATTCCTGCTATACCTACATCATTCCGGGACACTACTGAGGAAGGTGAAACCACTTCAACATCAGCGACAACATCACCAACACCACCAACATCACCAATAACACGAGATACATCATCATCAGATACATCATCATCAGATACATCATCGACAGCATCATCAACTGCGTCATTCACAACATCTGCGGAATCGTCAAAATTAGTAAAACCCACGGAAACTGTCGCAACCAGAATCACACAAACAAAACCATGGAGGAAACCCACAGTGACCCCTGCAACTAAAGGTTATGCGACCCATGTGCCCCGCCCATCAAAACCCCATGTGACGACACAGCGCCTGCCCCGCCAATCAAAACCCCATATGACAACACAGCGTCTGCCCCGCCCATCAAAACCCCATGTGACAACACAGCGCCTGTCCCGCCCATCAACACCCAGTGTGACAACACAGCGCCTGCCTGGCCCATCACTGGCTAACATTATGTGTAGCAACAACCAGAGAGGCTACAAAACAGGTACGGTATGAACTGATTGAAGCATGTGTTTGTCCTTTCTATCTTTATTCTGGAGTATGTAGGCCATCGGTGTCCTCCCATTACGCAGACAGCCAGTTCGCAGACACCTTAAAACAACAACATTTACGGTTCAGTGAACAGATTATCTACTACCTGTTACCTACACATTATTATGGAATAGTCCAATAAAACCACAGGAACAAACTGAAGCTAAATTCTTCAAAGGCATTTAGAAGTTGGTGTAGTAATACAAGACAAATCTTATGGATAACATAAATCAAGAAGTTGTTATCCATAAGATTTGTCTTGTATTAAAACTGAAGCTATATTATTTATTTTGAAAGATGGACGAAAAGACAGTAATTTGAATATTTATTGCTGCAATATGAAAACAGTTTTTCACAAACATTTCGGTTTAACAATAAACACAATCAAACCTCTCAGTGACAAACCTGGTTTAATATTCGATAGTAATTGAAGGTAAAAACAATTTTGAGAAGAGAAATCATTTATCATTTAAACACAACAAAGTTCTATTTACCTACAATCAAACTTCTCAGTAACGAACCTGTTTCAGGCTCATCCTGCTCTACTCACTAGACAGTGGACTGTTCCATTATACCCGTAGGTGTTACCCTAATTAACCTTCTAGTTCAGTGTCTGTCAATTGGGTGTCTGTCAAATGGGTGTCTGTCAAATGGGAGATAACCAGGCCATCGGCCCGTAGTACAGTTATTTCATACAGCCAACAAATGGCTTGTTCGTAGCTCATTCGCGTAAAATAGATGCATAGCTAGATTTCGTAGCCCAGTGGAATTGTCTACAGACATCGAAGACATACAGACATTTGTACAATGATGGAAAGGTATAATAGTTCACAGGAATATATATATATATAATGTACGTATATGATCATAAGCATAATATGATATTCATTTTCAATGTCAGCACCCGAACACATATAACATAATCTGAGATTCCTCGTCTTATTGATATATCTACCCGTCTCAATAATTAATTGATGAGAGCGGATTTTTTCACACTGAACAGGTCCTGAACATGTATCTCCGGGACGGTGGGGTAGCCTAGTCGTTACAGTGTTTTCTCGTCACGCCGAATACCCGGGTTCGATTTCCCACATGGGTTCGATGTGTGAAGCCCATTTCTGGTGACCCGGCCGTGATGTAGCTGGAATATTGCTAAAAGCGGCGTCAAACCATACTCACTCACTCAATATGGCTGTCTCCTCAATAACAATAGAAGTAATTCTACCATGACACCGAAACATGCGTGATTATAATTGATCATTAATGATGTATCTATTTTCATTAAATATCTCAAAATGGACAGGCATTTCCACGACCACCATCATATCATTACAATTACCATTGGCTGCCGATGCCAGTAGCTCTTTAGTGAGTGAGTGAGTGGGTGGGTAGGTGGGTGAATGAATGAGGTAAAATTGTATAGTCACATCGGCAGTATTTCATCCACATGGCGACTAAAACAAGTTACTAAATCATGGTAAATAAAGTTGAATTGTAAGAACCTGTCGACCAAAGACAATAAATACAGCTGGAATATCACAGACACAGAATCGAAAACAAGGATCTATCTCTAAAATTTGATTTCGTTACGAAACAATACAATATACACACGGGCTGTCATTCTCTTCCCACAGAGGTTACTCCTGTCATATCTTCCTACGTAACCTCTGTTCTAATACGGCCCTTTCATGGTGTGAGCGTTCAAGACTCGTGATTGGAGACAATCAGATTTAGTTGTGCAATCAGCGACGTTGTTTCAAAAGTGATCATTCGCAAGGCTTCGGTAATTTCCGTATGCTTCGAGAAAACTAAACTTCTTCCCCTGCGCGATGCGCAAACGTTTCTTCTAGACAGAACTCAGTTATGTTATGGCGGATCAGTGGCGTCTCCATCGCCCTCGTTGACAACAGACAAGCTAGCCATTAAACGTCTTGTGTGTAACATCAACACAAGTCCCCGGCAGATGGGGGATATTTGTGGCCCCACATTTGCTTGTGTTAGTCAAGTTGAATCTAAGTCGATGTAACAGGTGTTCTGATTGGATAGAAAGAAGGGAGATAATTCGTGTTGCGATCTTTTGCCGCTAGGGGGATTTTACGAGAACCGGGAAATATGGCCGTATTAGAACAGAGGTTACGTAGGAAGATATGACAGGAGTAACCTCTGTGGGAAGTGAATGACGGGCTGCAGATCGCCAGGAATTTTGTCTGAAGTTGAACTGTACTCAAGTTGTTCATCCATACAGTTTGTCCTTATCAGTAATGTGATCGATTATCCAGAAAATCACACTAGTGCATTTACTGGTTTTATTTAAACTGAAACACAACTTAGGGATATATAACGTAAGTGAATGAGTATGATTTTACGCCGCTTTAAGCAATATTCCTGGAATATCACTGCGGGGAACACCAGAAATGGGCTTCACACATTGTACCCATGTGGGGAATCGAACCCGGATCTTCGGCGTGACGAGCGAACGCTCTGACCACTAGGCTACCCCACCGCCCTATAACGTAAGAGTAACTGGTATTATAGTCTGCACGAGTGACATTAATAAGTTGTGTATTTATTTGTTCCAGGTGCTGTGGTTGGTGTGAGTGTCGCCATGGTCGTTGTTGGGGGAGTCCTGGGAACTGGGGCCGCCATCTTTATGTCCAGAAGAAGGAACTTTGGATTCTGTTGATGTGGCTCGACACACGAACATTTACAGGTCTCCTTACATGTTGCAAATAGCTGTCTATGATCTTTGACGTTCCTCCAATAAATATGAAACTCGAAACGTTCACCTGGTGCATGTCCCGCTACAACATAGACCTCCATAAAGTGAGATATATCTTTGTTTGAGACCTCGTCTCTTGAAACACAAGTCAGTCCGTGGGGTTTCCGCCTCATTTAACAATACCCTAGCAATGTAAGGGACACAGCCGTAATCCTCTCACGTTGTACCCGTGTGGGGTATTCAACCTCGGCCTTCTGGGTGACACATGCATGCTATAACAATAATAAGAAGTAGGACATTTATGTCACGCTGAACTCCACACCGCACAAGGAAGGGTCTAAGCGCATACAAAAGAATGGACGAACAATTGTCAGTGATTATGAAACAGATGGGTCTTCATGCCAGATTTAAAAGTACTCAAGGAAAAGGCACACCAAGGGTGAGGGGGAACAGAGTCCCATAGCACAGCAGCAGATATAAGTAGTAATCAGCTTTTAAAGTGCATAAATTTACGCTCAATTTGCTCGGAGCGCTGCATTATTAATGGACGGATCAGCGAGCACCCAATTTATATACAACAGAAGCAGCACATGAGGATTTAAAAGACTCGACATTTTTAATGTCAGTATCAGCTGTAACATAACTACACAACAGAAAGACAGAATGTGTTAGGGAAGGCAGATGTAGTGAGTGAGTATGGTTTTTCGCCGCTTTACGCAATATTCCAGCAATATCGCGTCGGGGGCACCAGGAATGGGCTGCACACATTGTGTTCATGTGGGGAATCGAACCTGGGTCTTCGGCGTGACGAGCGAACGCTTCAACCACAAGGCTACCCAACCACCCCTTTTCAGTTGTAATGCACTTAAAGCCACGATTACAGATGTATTAGCGAGACTGACGGAATACGATGTTCGACATTAATCAACAGTAACTAATGCAGGTCGCAAGAGGTGACTTGAACGAAAACAGCACTCCAACTGTCAAACTCTGGCCACTGTGACTCATGAAACAATTTGCTGGCTGACGCGAAACCCAGGGCCACGTTTCACAAAGCTGTCATAGCGCTACGACTGTCGTACCTCCTATACTGTAGCATAGACTTACGACAGTCAAAGCACTAGGGTAGCTCTTTGACACGGGATCTGGGCTATACCTTCGAGGCAATATAAAAACATAAACTCTCCCAAAAAGAAACACATAGGTGTATTTTCACGAATTTAATCTGTTCACTTTAAAATTCGGAAAACACATGTTATTCTGTATCAGTTGCAACCAAATGTCAACTTATGAAAGACCAAATGTCTGTTAACACGGATAGCTTATACAAAACCCTATATGTGAAGGCGTCCGTTCCTAGTTTTGCATTTTCTTCAACATCTGTTGTGGCCACCATGTGCCACCAAAACTGCTCTGCGCCGTCTTGGAATGGACTGAATAAATCTTTGAATTCAAACTTATGGAATTCTGGCCCATTCCTCTTGCAATGCCTGCGACAGCTGATCTAACGTGTGCTCGAAGGGTTGAGGTCGGGCGATTTGGAAGTCCAAGGAAGTGCTGTAATGTCCTCATTCTGAAGATGCTGAATAGTGGCATGTTCGTGTGTGTGTGTGTGTGTGTGTGTGTGTGACACTATCTTGCTGAAACAACCCCCTCAATGATCGGAACCAGGTGAAACCTTAAGATTTCATCTCTGTACCGAACAGCAGTTAAACTGCCTTGAAATCGCACAGAGTTAGATCTCAGCATGTAGGATATGGCTCCCCATACCATGACACTAGCACCACCATATCGGTCAACCTGGTGGACACACTTCCGGGCAAAACGTTCATTTCGACGTCAATAGACACTTACTCCTTCGTCATGGCTATAAAGCAGAAAGCGTGATTTGTCGCTGAAGCTTGCAAGTTGTGTAGATTTCAGAATCGAACGTTATTGCACCACTGAACACGTCAACGTCAATATAGTTGTCGCAGCACAGAGCCGAAATAGAGTCTTCTGGCTCGAAGTCCAGTTTCACGTAAACGATTACGAACGGTTTGCGCCGACATTATCTCCATACAAGCACTGCACTTCCAGCTACCACTAGATCCAGCACATGACCTACCCAGACCTACCTATCCCGCGCTGCAGGGATAATCCGGCCTCACATAGCAATTGTCCCTGCTCAAGGTTCCTCAGAACTGCACGTGCATATTGCGAACTACTTTTTCTCTATGACATTTCCATGCAAGTTGACACTTCCAAACGTAACCGTACTTTAAAGTAACCAGCATTATAATGGCGAGCATAAAACTGGCGAACAACACTAATTTTGAAAACTAACTGACATTCATTTCTCTATATCGCCGTTGCGTTTCTTTAAGGTTAGAGTATATCTGTACCGTGATTCCTTTCAATTTATTTATGTCCACATAAACAATAGTTGATTCACCTTGATAGTTCTTTATATGCATAACAGAAAACAAATTGTATGTTTCCTTGGGTACATCTTGGAAGGAAGTAGATTGGTGGTCAGGCTCGACGACATCTTGTGCACATAGCGTCGTATCCCAATTGCATAGATCGATATTATTGATTACTGTGTTGTCTGGTCTAGACTCGATTATGTACAAACGGCCGCCATATAGTTGGCATATTGCTAAACAACAACCAGCCAGCGACAAGGCAGGACACGACAGTTTGTATCAAAGTCTTTTGTATTATGTTTAAATTAGGTTCTTTTATTTGCCAGTTATCTCAGTGTGATAAGTCAGGCTCCACCTGTAGCAACGTACCAGACAAACAACTGTAGCCTTGGAAATAAAAATACCCTCAAACCTCCACGCTAAGGACAACTACTTCTATTGATCAGTGTCTGCTTTCAACCTGTGTTTTATCGATCGTAATCGATCGCTTGCTGCGGGTAAAACCCGTTCCTCGGGAATCAGGATCAGCTGAAATATGAATAAGGAAGACGTGTGCAATACATTGTGTTACAGTATGTTCGATAATAGTTAGCGTGATATTCTTCGAGAAGCTAAAGCTGGCACGTTTGCAGCATGAGCGCTACTCTAAGATTGTAGTCAAAACAAAACATTGAGATCAGAGGTGATTGTGCGAGGGATTTGAATTGAAGCCAGTTTGGGATATATTGCGTGTTAGATATTTAACGGCATGTCAATGTCTACTACTAATAGCCTTTTATATCAGCCAGGCCACTCCTTGGCCCTATTCTACCCAAGGAACTGTATGCGCTCAAACTGAATTGTGTTACTATTATGTAAACAGTGACAATTTCCAAAGATATAACAATCCATGAACACTTATAGATAAGTTAAATGACACATTTGTAGACAGTTCAATTAACTTGGCAAAAAGACTATTAACAGTAACATCGCTAGTATCATTACGATCATATGTTACTGGCTGATGTTACTTCCATACAACTGTTCTCATGTGGAATATTACCCCTGATAATCCCATTGTGGGACAAAATTCGCACCCGTGAAGACCCGGGCTAGAATTGGTCTTCAGTAACCCATGCTTGTCGTGAGAGACTAACGAGATCGGGTGGTCAGGCTCGCTGACTTGGTTGGCACATGTCATCGTATCTCAGTTGTGTAGATCGATGCTCAAGCTGTTGCTACTTTGTCTTTAACCCTTCATGTATGATAGTCTGGTGACTTTGATGGTCAAAGTTCTCTTTCCACTGGGGCATTTGCATTGATACGTTAACGTAGTGAATTATATTAATTGATATTGTTATAATGTGGATGTTCTTCCTGAATTTCCCTGTGTTCCAATTTATTACTTATGCCGTCTATAAATGCTGTATATAACCTGATGTGTTTATCTGAACTCGTCATTGATATGTATAATTATGGTGTTTGAATCTCTTATAGGCCGCTTGGCAGCACATTATATATTTCACAGATTGAATATCTTTGCTGTCACCTTTTGCTGTCCTTCTTCTTCCCCCTGTTCTTCTTTCTACTTCTTCTTCTCCTCCGGGCCGATGGGGAAGCCTAGTGGTGTAAGCGTTTACTTGTCAGGCCGGAGGTCCGGATTCGATTCTCAACTTGGTACAATGTGTAAAGCCCAATTCTGGTGCCCCCGGCAGTGATGTTGCCGGAATACCCGTACTCACTTACCCACTCTCCTCCTCCGTCCTCGTCATCATCATCATCATCATCATCATCATCATCTTATTATTATTATTATTATTATGTTTTACAGATTAAAGATAGTATGCAGCAAAGAGGGTTCGGGTGATCCCGGCACAGTCAGGCTGGTAAGGCTCATCATCAGCTCAGGGCCCTTGCCCCCTCTACACGCAGCCCAGACAGCGAATGGGACTTCTCCCAGGAAACGCTGCCTAGTCGAACCCACCAAGAACTTTCCGGAGAATATGAAGGCTCCCCAACACTGCAGCCTTCTGCATTACCCAGAGTGTCAGAAGAGCTGTGCTCCCGGTGGAGAACCCGGGCACTCTCTTGATCTGCGCCAAGAGATCAGGAGGTACCAAACCAAGGGCACCGAGAACAATGGGGAGCCTGACGACAGTGTACTTGGGATGCAAGCGAGACATTTCAAAGGCGAGGTCCGCATATTTATCATGCTTTTCCTTAATCTTGTCAATCACATTCCTGTCAAAAGGGACAGAAAATTCAATGATATATATAAATTCATTGGCTTTATCAAAAAGGACAAGATCAGGTTTGTTGGCAGGAATTCTCCGCAGGCTGTATATGGGCCTATTCCACAGAAGTTTGAAAGCATCATTTTCCATGACGCCCTGGACATGTTCAGGGTCGTACCATGGATGGACCTCGGAGTCAAAGCCACAGGCATGGCGGAGGCGGTAGTAAAAGCAACGAGCCATGCCATCATGTCGTTTAAGATATGCTGTTTGTGCCAAGGAAGGGCATCCACTGACAAGGTGTTGGACAGTCTCTGTAAATTCATTGCAAAGTCGACATTTCATATTAATATTCTCTTTAAGAATCACATTTAGGCGATTACGAGTGGGAAGTGACTGGTCCTGAGCAGCAAAAAGGAAGCCCTCAGTTTCA